CCCTTGACACATTCAATTACCAATTTATCCTCCTTTTTATTGACCAAAATACCTTGCTAATGTACCAATACAACAGCCACCACACCCACTACCACCATTTACCCGTAATCCATCTTCTTTCCCTAAATCCACTTCCCCCAAAATTCCTGTAATCTATATATGTGTATGAATATATAGATTGTGATTAATCTAACCCCCACCGCCATCATCGTTCTTCTCTAGCCGTCACCGTTGTCTGGTATGATGGTCGCCTTCGTCGAAGCTTCCACTGGTCGTCGCCATCGTCGGAAATCGCGGTTGGATCACAAGCTTTGGTTTGGTGGTGGGTTAGCGTCGGTGCGATGGTGGTGGCTGTGGATGAGGAGAAGTGGTGGCGGCAGCTGTGGTTGAGAAGTGGTGGCGGTATAAGGCGGGAGATGATGGCGGCGATTGTGGTTACTGGGGAGAATTATTCCGTAAGCTGATTCTTTAGTTTGCATAATTCTTTCCATGGAAGTCTTTATAGTCAAGTTCAATTTGCTTCCGTTTCATGAATCATGCGACTGAAAAATCATTAAGTAGTAAAGTCCCAAGATGATATAAGCCTTTTCGGCTACTGATATACCTGCATATATATATTTTAATATGTGCTTTATATGCTTGAATTTTTCCTAGTGTTTGTTTATGAACCTGAGCTCTTTGATTGTGTTTCATAATCTGTTTTGCTGGATTCTAATTCCCTGAGATTTGGGGGAGAGGCAACGGCGTCTGTTGTTGGACAAAGGCGGCGACGGTGGATCAAGATGTCGGCCGGCGGATGTGGATGGAGCGGTGGCAGAGGTAGAGGAAGGAGGCGGTGAGATTGGATACATATATATATATATATGTGTGTGATGGTCCTGATGTAATAGTGTGTGTATATATATATGTATAAGGGTACATTTGACTTTTCATGACTTATGATGTTTTATTGTAAAAATAAATTAAACATTGAAGGGTAATATTGTCTTTTTAATATTTAAGGGCTTGTTTAAATCAAAATTGTGTTTTTGTCCAAAAAAAAATATATATATATTTAAATTGTATATGATTATAAATATAACAAACTTCATGACCTGTTATGTAATTAATTATAAGACGGCTTTGTCTCATTTTACCTTTTTTTTTAAACATGTTATAGAGATGGTCTGTGTATCAGCTTTAGTGCTGTCGTAGTTATAAGCTAGTATTAAATTAAGGAAAAAAAATTGAAGAAATTAATAATGGAAGAAAGATTCCAACAAAAATTATGGGAAGTTAATGAAGTATTTTCACTGGAAAAAATAATGGTCTTAACAGACCTAATGGACTTGGGTAAGCATTTAGGCCCATCTTCATGTTCGAGGGTCAGAAAATGGTCCGGTCAACCAATTGAGCTCAACTTTAATGGATAAGTTCGCCATGAATCATCTAAAAATTCAATTGGGCCAGGCTGAAGTACTAGACACTAGGCCTTCAAAATATTTGTATTTTGATTGGCAACAAAACTTACACGCATTTATCTTGACCAGTACTTGTCACCATCCCCTCTCTAGTGAAAAAAAATTACCAGATTATAGTCTTTAGAATAATTGACACATGATACTAAATTGACACACACTTCTTAATTAGGGGAGGCTCGTCATCGAGGAGATATTAAAGGTGTCAGGAGCGTTATATCACCGTTTTATTCATCCAATAAAAATGCACTATTTCAAGAAAAGTTAATTCACTCACTAATAAAATTGGATAAATACACTAATGACATAGTCGCTAATGACATGATGTGTCAAATCTAAACTGATATAAATTTTGATAACGTTATATCAAAGATTAAATGATTAATCATAGTAAATCTCTAAGTTTTTACTAATTTTAAACAACATTTCAAAAACAGTTGGAGTAGGAAAACCCACCTTTCTTTGGAGCTCTTCTTCTTTGTCTCCTCTTCTTCTTCTCTCTCTCTTCTCTTCTGGCCGAAACCTTCCCTTGCTTCTCTTTTGTTTCTCCTCCTATATAATTTATATCTATACTTTTTTCCTCTTTTTTTTTTTTTTTCCTGTCTCAATTTGATATCTATACAGGTATATAAATGTCTAGAGAGTTGAGGCTTTCATTGGAAGCTTTGACAATGTTGCATATATATTTGTGTCTACCAATGCATGAGCTACGTGGTTGAATCATCAACCATGGGAATCCTCCACTAAGGTGTGACGTGTCACACTAATGTGTCAAACAGTTAATTCCTTTTGTTCCTTATATGTGTGTGTATATATGTATTAGCAAAAGGATGTTTGATGTTTCCCAAGGGGCACTTGCCTGTAAAATTAGTTATTTTTTTTCATATTTAATTCAAACCATTTTTACTTTCATATTTTACCCTTTCTACTCGCTTGACATATTTTTCTATCTGGTTGAATCCTTTCATTCCTTAAAATTTCATATTTCATCACCAACTTAAAAGAACTATATTTTTAATTTTAAAAAAAGAGTAGTGATACTTAAATAGAACATTTGCAATGAATTGGTAGGCCTATTTTTTTAATTGATTAATTATGCAACAAATAAGGAAGTGGAGCCATCCACTTAGTTATATTTAGTATAAATAACCAATTAAAAATTATTTAATTAAACAATTCATTGCAAGTGTTAAATGTAAGTATCACTATTCTTTAAAAAATTACATTTATCACCGATCATTAATCTAGATAGAATATCACATGACTATTACTAATTTATTCCAAACAAAAAGTATAGTCTAGATAAAATGGATTTATCACCCATTACTAATTTATCGGGATTTAAAAGTATAGTTTAGATGAAATGGATATAAATTGGAGCAGTGGATAATTGAGGTACAAAAACTCCTTTAGAAAAGAGCCTTGTTTAGTATAATACGAGTAATAAAAATAAAATCAGTAAATTAGAGAATTGGAAAAGACTAGACTAGCTTAAATGGTTGAGATGCTTAACATTATTTAGTAATTTAGTTGATAGAATGTTCTGCGCCTTGAATGTGTTCGTACTCAAGTTCCTTTTTCCCCTTGTTGGGATTACCAAAAAAAAAAAAAAAAAAAAAAAAAAAAAAAAAAGTTGAGAAGCACAAAAAACAAACACAAATACAACAATAAAAATAAGAATTAATTACAATGACACCCCTTGAGATTTGTCATAATGACAATCATATACAAATTGAGCCTTTTTTTAACAATAACACCCCTCAAATTTTGATAAAGGTAACAAAGACACCCCAATGATGGCATGCCACATCTGAATTGACAAATTTACCCTTTGACTTATAAATTGACCAAATTGAGTAATGAAATTACCTTTCTAACCTTTATCAATAAAATTAAAAAAAGAAAAAGAAAAACTATTTTCTTTCCTTCTCTCCAATATTGTCCGTTATACACACTTTAATCACTCATGGATGTTGCCGCCGCCACCAAAACCTATATACTTCTTTTGTGGTGATGGTGGCAACGATGGTGGTTAGGGATTGACGCACGCCGGATATTTATGGCATCAATTTAGTTCGCTGAAGCTTTTGGGCCAAGATGATGGATCTCGGTTAGAAGATGGATGATGTTATGTACTAATGTTCTGAAGCTCGCCGGGAATGATATTGATTGAGATTTCGATTAAAAAGATGTTAGGCCGGTTCCTCATGTGCCTAAGAAGTAATCCGGCGAACCACCACCACCCACCTTCGTCACCATCCGCCGCTGATGGAGTCGTTGTCGACGGCGGCGAAAGGGGAAACAACCGAGACAGACAAGCTGAATCGTTCTTCCCGCCGATCTCCGAGATCCGCAATGTGGAGCCAGTACCAGGAAGCAAATCGAGGACAAAAGTGTGGAACTTCGACAACTCGTCGGCAATCGGTAACGCAATCTCAGCGACTTCGCCGACTCTATCGTCCAGATGAAAGCCTTATGCGTGTCCATATCCGCCATCCTCCACTCCTTCTTCGTGGAAACCCCCAAATTCACCATCTTTCCACTCCCTCTTGTGTGAATGCCCTTTTATTTATTTTTGTGGTATTATTATTTTTTTTCCCTATTTTTGTATCATAAAAATATCTTTGGTGTTGGTGGAAGACGGTGGGGATGGAAGTGAAGTTAGGGTTGGTGGTCGGTGGTGGTGTGGTGTGGTGTGTTGTCTAGATTCAAGATATATATATATATTTATATATATAATATACTATATATTTATATATATATATATATAGAGAGAGAGAGAGAGAAGGGTTTCTGATGAAAGAAGAGAGAGGAGAGAGATTGGTAAGGTTTAATGATGGATAAAAGTGTCATTTAAGAATTTTAATATTTTATAATAAAATATTTAAGGGTAATATTGACATTTCACATCTTTTAAGGGATTGTTTGGATTCATTTTTTGACAGGGGGTGTCATTGTTAAAAAAATGCTCAACTTGTATATGGTTGTCATTATGACAAACTTTACGGGGTGTCATTGTAATTAACTCTAAAAATGAAGTTAATAAAGTAATGACTTGTAACAGACTGACCTGTTTAGTTTCACAACTCATTGTCCAAAAGTCGCAAGCTCTCAACTAATTGTACCTTTCAAGTGAGCCCAACCAATTGAGCTGAGATTTAATTTTATCACATGGACAAGTTGGTCATGAATCATCTCAATAATTCAATTGGGCCAGGCTGTACTAGAGCCTAAGCCTTCAAAAATAATTTACTGCACTCTTCTTCATCTGAACTAGAGCCTGGACTGGGCCAGGCTGGGCTAGATTGGGTTTGGCCCGGCTTGAGCGATCTACAATGTTTGGTTTTAGCTGCAGTAAACAAGCAAGAGAAGAAGAAACAATGAAAACAGAAACAACATGACAGAAAAGGAGCCCTCTAATGTCAGGTTGGGCCAGCCACATTTCTTAATTTGGGCCAACCCAATCTTAACCTCCAAAGTCCACGTGCGTACCACGTGACACTTCCCTAACCTCCAAATAAATATGGTGTGCTGCTGCTGCCTACGACTTTCCTAGTTTTGTTAACTAACTTCCAATGGTTTCTCTGCGCTTTCCCTTCTTGTTTTCTCAGCCCCCAAAGCCCCCCAATAACAATGACAGGGCTCCCTCCAGGTCTTTCTACGCCACCTCCGCCGTGGCTTCCGTCGCTGGTGCCGGCATTGCCGTCGGCGTCGCGGTCTCTCACAACCCCACAAACCCGTTTCTCCAAAAAGCTTTGAATTTTTTGGGCAACAGTTTCTCACCAAACAACAATCACTCCTCTCCCATATGGGGTTCACTCTCTATGGATGGCAACCCATCTATGGTCCCCGAATCAAAGACCGGAGTCTCGTTTCCATCCATTCTGAAAGATTCTCAGCGGCTTCTTGGAATTGGGTTGCGGAAAAAGAGGGTGTTGGGTTTGAAGAACATCGATGTCTACGCATTTGGTACCACATTTCTTCTTTTCTTTCCGTCAATTTTTTATATTATTAGCTGGAATTTCAATTTGCATCTATGGTGGATCGATCGCACAATTCTACAATTCACTATGTATTGCACCTACTATTAATGTTAATTGGGTTTAGGCACATAACAGGAAAGCCTTCGAGTTTTTTTGATTGATAGAGCATTTGGGTTTCTTGAATTCAGTTATACCAATTTGAAACAAATTATTTTCTATAATTGATAGAGCACTGGATTGATGCATGTTTTGTGGAGTAATTGCCTTATTTTACACCTGTACAGTCATGCCCTAACTTGCTCAATCTACCTTGATATTGCTTGTCATGAACATACTATGTGGAATCCATTAACCCTTCCGTCATTACCGCCAATTTGTCTTTCTGCATGCATATTAGTATCATTATTGTAAGACACCAAGGATAGAAGGAGGAGCCGAGTTGATAGTTCATCCTTACAATTTTTCGATCTGCAAATTATCATAATTCTAAAACACACAAGTATGTCATTCTGCAGGTGTTTATGCTAACGATGATGATGTTAAAAAAATTCTGGGTGAGAAATATGGGGAACTATCGGCTTCTGAACTGAATAAACTCAAGGAGTACAATGAAGATCTCATGGAAAATGATATAAATATGACAGTTAGACTTCAAATAGTTTATGGAAGATTAAGCATTCGATCTGTACGTAGCGCTTTCGAAGAGTCTGTAGGAAGCAGGCTACAAAAGTTTGGGGGATCAGATAACAAAGAATTGCTTCAAAAGTAAGTCATTCTTTTACCATTGAGCATCTATAGCATTTGATTGTGTGCAACACTCTTGAAATAATAACCTTTTTTTTTTTGCTTCAAAGGTAAGTGATTCTTGCTCTGTTTGGCATTATTGTTATCGTAATATACCTTTATTGACTACATTTCACTTTAGAAATTTTCTGAAAGTCACCGACTGTACCTCTGAAACTTTTATGTGTATCTGACCCCTAACATGTTTTTGCTTTCACTTGCATTGCATTTTTCTCTGCCTTTCACTAATAAGTAACATTTTCTCATCCTTGTCAAATCTAAAGTTACTGCTGCGGTGGTCTTCTAATGAAGTTTTGAGAAATTTATTCAATTTATTATGTGATAAATTAAGGGCAATACTTGCCTCCTACCCTGTAAGTAGGAATTTTCTTCTTTGGGTTGATGTGGCCCAACAAAATTTTGACACCTATACCAAAGCTATGTAATATTTAAAAAAAATAAAATAAAAAATTAAAACAAACCATTTTTAATGGGTTAAACCGATTCATATATATACATATATACTATATATATGAACATATATCGAGGGGAATTGCTCGACTGTTTGTGTCTCCATATATAAGATATGGAGAGAGAGAACTCCGTATATCTGATATGGTATCCACAGGGCACTATGTATCTATATATGCTACATATATATATGTGTGTGTGTGTGTGTGTGAGAGAGAGAGAGGGGGCATCTCTCTATGTATCTATAAGACAGCCTCTCTATTTATAAAATAGATATATATACACATAAATAACCTGATGTTCAAGTTGATAGCCTCTGATCCAAAATACGAAGTAATAATAAGATGTTTCAATCGATTCGAATTTAGGAAACACATTGAAGCTTTGGGATGTCCATGGAGATTGATAAGCGTTTCGTGGATAGGAGAATAGAGATGGAGATTAGGGGAAGGGAGATGATTTCAGAAGCATTCTCAAATGAGTTTTAATTTGATCCCAGTTAACCTGTTAAAAATGGGTTGATCCATTTCTTAATATGTTTTTAACATTATTTAATTTGGGTACATGTGTCAAAATTTTGTTGGACCACAGAAAGAACTTCCTACTTATGGGGTAGGAGGCAAGTATTGTTCATAAAATAATAAATTTGTTCATTAATCTCAAATCTGAGGAAATTTTACTCATTAATTTAAATCATTATGTAGCTTGTTTATTTTTAAATTTTAGCCTAACAGCCATTTTCATTACAGATTTACCTCCCAGTTTAAAGATGAATACAAACTACCTCGGGGATCTATTATAGATCTCTCAAGGGAACAGGGTCACGTACTTCGCACCACAAGTAAGATGATCTTCATATTTATATTATTTTATTTTGCAGCATATGTTTATCTTTTCTTTGTACATATTGCTGCAATGATTTTGACTCTTATATGGTTAAAAGTTTTATCTCTCCAAAACTAAACCAAGGCAACTACATATGATAAGTTTTTGTATTTTACTCGTATGGAAAAGAACTGGAAGACAACTGCCATGGAATTTCGACCAAATGACTTGAAACAAAAATTCTATGAATCTGAACTAAGACCAAGGGTGCCAATTCTGATATTGCCATGCTGTTCTAGGAACCACATGGAATAAATGATTCAATTTTGATTTTCATATCATTTGATTGCAGAATTTCATCAAGCAATATAGTCACTTGTACCAAATAACAAAAACAACAACAAAAAGTGTTCCTATGTGTGAAAAAAAACATTGAGTAGAGTAGCATAAACACACACACCAGACAAGGTCATGATCCAATACATTTATATGTGTAGTATGGAGTCTGTGGACTATGGACACTAAAGATTATGAATATCTAGGACATGGATACACAGTGAAAACATTCATCATCATCCTTGCCTTCGTCTCCTATGATAATGGTGACATACATGCATGCATGACAAATATTTAACTTTTTTAATTCTCTGAAACGGAAGATAAAAGTTGACAAATATCATAGAAATACCTCAACTTTTTGGAGAATAAACTAGTAGTCTAATTGTTTGGTTTCGTTCAGGAAATTGAAGTTCATATCTAATTTTCTTTTGCTTAACTGAAAGATGTAAAAAAATCATCTTGTTATATCCTTACACTGCTTATTTTTGGTGAAATAACATCATTATATTGATTTAGTTCTTATTTACTTAAACAGTTGATGGGAAAGTGGTGGGAAGTATCCAAAGCAAACTCCTATGCCGGTCAATATTAGATCTATATATTGGTGATGATCCATTCGATCGACAAGCCAGAGAGAACATCGAACAAAACTTGGCTTCTCTCCTTCAAAAGTAGGTCTCCGATCATTGAAAATCTGTGATCCGTGTATCCACATGAGAAATTTTATCTTCACCATTAAAATTGTATCTAGTTAAATTTTATCATGGATAATGAGTTATGCAACTTCTGTTACATTTCAATATTTTATTATGTGATTATTGAGTGCTTGAAAAAAAAGTATAGATTATGTTACTGCTTGGCTGAAGTATTTGTCAAATGATCTTCTTAAGGGTCCAGGGACGGGGTTATTATTAATGAGCTATTGCCTAATATGGTGAATTTCATCACTGTAAAATGTGCTCCTTTTAAAATGGTGGAAGTTCAAAATTCAAAGTGCAAATGAGAGAGTATATTCCGGATAAAATCCTTTTTTTCCCCAAATAAATGGAGTCAGTCACATAAATTCTTTTTTTCCATTCAATTCTATTATAACATTAGAATTTTTTTTTTTTTATTTTTTTTTTTTTTATTTTTTTTTTTTTTGAAAGATTTAATGGTTTAAAATCATTTTTAATTACTTTGCCCTTCACCTGTGTTAGTTTTGGTTGTCCTCATTTTAGTTCCTTCATTCCATGTTAGTATGAGTGTGATTTTATGCCATCCTAATTTATCCATACAGAAAATATGGTTTAGATAAAATGAAGATAAATTACTGTATTTTTAGAAAAATAAGACATAAAAAGCACATTACGTAAATGAAAGTGGATCGTGGAATAGGGCATCCTATTTCATCCCGCTTGAGATGTATCTTACAAAAATATGCACATTCTGTGAATGAAAGTGGACAGAAAACACTTCCCTACATATTTTCGCTCATGATCCAAATATATCAAATCTAGCACACTATTGCCTTTTTTTCCTAATTGTTAACAGATTCTCGAGATGATCTAAATATATGAAATTTAGAACATTTAATGTATTTTTTTCTTTTTTTAAAAAAATAATTAATCGTGGGTCGTTTGTTAAAATGAGAATAATCCGATAGTAATACACTAGAGAGGGTTCAAGCCAAAAACTACCTATCATGATGTAGTAACTTTTCGACTATATTGCCTCTAGTGTCTGCATAATCATTTTTTTCATTTAAGCAACCCATTTTCATTCATGTGGGGGATTGTTAATATTTTGAATGAAAATTGCCAACAATTCACTTGGATTTCATTAAGATGGATTGTAGAAGAACACGTATCCCATCACCATAGTAGTAAAGGATTACACTATTGACGTTGAATTACGTAGTAGTGTTGTTGTGTGAATTACATTGTGGTATAATACCAGAATGGTTACACAATTGAATGGTTGGAAAGTTATTACCGTTACTTTCCGAAGGCAACCATTGACAACCATAGTCGCAACCCTTTGATATGTTGCATCTGGTGGTCGTGTCTTGTGACAAAAGACGGCATATTTCAGTTATTTACAAAACAAAGTGAATTTGACTTTGGTTGGCCATGAATGTCACTTGTTTCGTTTTACGAGAGATGGATATGCCAATGATGAATGGCTGTGTCTTAAAATTAATAAGAAACAAAGGATGCGACTTTAATAAGAAACAAGGATGCAGCTGAAATGTAACAATTGACTGTTAATAATTGGGAAAGTTATTTCAGTTACATAATGATAGGCCCATAGTTGATTGGATGCACCCAATGAGTGAACCAACGCGACTTAATCTCAAGAGTCACAAATTCTTCTATAAATAACCATATATTTCATTTGCAAAGGTGTGCATTTATTATTTCATTCTTCTCTCCCTCTCTCAAGATGAACCCAACCCAAGTAGGTGTGGGTTCAAGCCATGGTCAAGTGGTCTGAGCCACTTAGGCCCAAAACCAATTTCATTGAGCCATATTATATTTGGTCCGAACCATTTGGTTCGGATTGCACCCAATTCATTATTTATATAGTATAGATGTATTTTTGAGTCAGAGAGAGTATTACACGGAGGAGGTTCACCTTATTCACGAGTTTGAAGTGATGCTACTGGTGGATGTAGGTCGTTGTATCTTAGGAGACAAAAGCCATAGAGTCCGTTGGCACCATGCGGGACGTAAGTTGTCTTAAGGACATAGTATTCAATAATAGCATTGGTCCAAGTTCTTTATTTATTAATTTATTACTTTATTTTGCATATTTAATTAAATATAGTGTTAATTTCACTGACAACTGTCAGGTTTGGCCAAATATCACCCTCAAACATCTTTCGAAAATAACTATCACTTAAGTCTATTTTAATTTTTCTGTCACGATCTCCGTTAATAGCATAGATAAAGACAACTTTACGTTTCATTTTTTAATTCAGTTTATTTTAAAATATCATATTACTTAAATAACTCTCATACCCCTCATTATTACACACTCTCTTTCTCTCTCCTCTAATATATTTTTTTTTATCTCTCTTCTGTCTCCTTTTCTTCTTTACATATCAATAGAGTTCATCCACCTACCTTCATTAAACGTAGTCCAATCAACACTAAATTAGGGTTTATTAAACCTAATTAGGCTTAATTAACCCTAATCCAGCAAAAGTTTTATCAATTAACTCTAAAAGTTCTATCAATTAATTAACTCAAATTAGGATTAATTGATGGAACTTTTGTTGGATAAGGGTTCATTAATCCTAATTAAGTTTAATAAACCCCAATTTAAGATTGAGTTGCAACCCGATGCAAACTATTTGGAACAACCTTACTGTATTCTCGATCGTAGGAATCAGATACTGCGCACGAAGACTATTCCACTAGTACGTGTACAGTGGAGTCATCATAGTGCTACATAGTCTACTTGGGAACGGGAAGATATTATCCGTGCCAAGTATCCAGAGCTCTTTAATACAGGTATGTAGTGAATTTCGGGGACGAAATTCCGTTATTAGGGGGGAGAATGTAATACACCGTATTTTATTAAAGAGTTTAGTTTATTTAAATTCAATTATGTGTGGATTTCTTTACCTATTATTGTGCATGCTACATTGTTATATTAAGTTCATTTAATGGTGCCTGTAAATTAATTGTGTATGTTAAAATAGTAAATTTATTCATTTAATTGTGCATGTATTATTATAATTAATTTTATTTGTTGATTGTGTTTAATTAAGCAATATTAGTTAATTAAAGTATTATATTTATGTTATAAAGTATTATGAGGATATAATGTATTCTTAAGTAATAATAATAATAATAATAATAATTATAATAATAGTATTAAATCAATGTCATGATGAAATTCGAGATTAGGATAGGATTTCATTAATGTGTATAGGTAGACTTGAAGCCATATGGTTGGGAAGGTGGTTAGTAAATGTAAAAATTAGATATTTGTAATATTTATATTATATAAATTGTATATAAATTAGTTAGCCTACTTTAGAAGGAATGGAAGGGAGTTAGAAAAAAATTATAGCTTTTAGTGAGCCATTGTAAAAGTGTGGAGAGGTGAGAGAGAAAGAAAGGAGTTTGGACCGGGTAGGAGAAATTTACCCGACTACGCGCAACCGGCGGATTTATTTTAAATCCAAAAAGGCAAGTTATTATCTATTTTTCCCCTTTGAATTAATAAATTAATTGTTTAGTTTATTTTCATGCATAGAGACCAGGTTATGAAGTTAATAAATTATTAATTTTAGTTTATTAAACTAATGAAATTTTAATTATATAGGATGTTATATATTTATTTAATATCCTATGCAATTAATAATGGCTGAAAATAATTAAATAAGGCTTTAGGGATTTTTCTAGAATTTTCTAGATTTTTCCGGGGCTTTTCTGTAATTTCCGGCGACCTTCCGGCGAGTTTTCCGGTCGCCGGCAATGGGGGAGATGACCGGAGTGATCCGGTGTGATGCGGCGCACCATAGGAGGGTATGCGCGCGCATCTGGGCCATTAACAGGAGCGATTGATCCGGTGCACCGCGGTCCATGTTACCGCGGTACACCCGGATCTATGAGCGTTGGATTGAGTGAAGATAGGGTGAGATGATTCAGTGTAGCGCGCCCATAGCAGGATGATGCAGCCAGCGAACCAGGAAGGGCCACGTCATCAGGGGGGCTTAGTGCGCGCGTGGGAGCGCGTGGAGGATGCCACACGCGCGTAGCGGCGCGTATGAGCGCGTGCACGCGTGGGAAAGCTTGGCGGCACGTGTGGGGAGCTCTGGGAGGCGCGTGGGGGCGCGTGAAGGGCCTCTGCAGCTGCTGGAAAAGTCCAGAATACCCCTAGGGACTGTTTTGTCATTACCAGGACCTTCACTATACATTTTGGGGCCTCGGGTTGGCATTTTTGGAATTAACGGGACATTATATTATTATTTTATTTCTTGTTAACTATTATAATTGTCCGATTAATATTTCTAAATATTAATTGTATCAGTTAAAGTGTGAATCGCTAGTAAACATATGTAATTAATTTAACGACTATTAATGGTATTATTTTATTAAACTGTAATAACCATTAATGTTAAATTAATTAGTGCTTAGTTTTATTCATATAAATAACCCATTATATATTATGGAATATTTATACTGTTAATCGTATATAAACCATGATTATTATGCTGTGTGCATTTCAGAGAATAAATGGACTGTTTATTATGTCGCATTTATATTATATGGATGTGTTGCCATATAGAACCATGTGAGCTGACTAATAAGTTTAGACTCATTGATACCTTATGCATTCGTTGCTATAGACAGATGTGTGGCTGTCGGGGTATGTGGTTTAATATTATTGGCATGTGTTGCCTAATTGATATACTTAGTATATTTATTCATATTATTGGCATGTGTTGCCTAATTAACATACTCAGTATATTTAGTATTATTATTGGCATGTATTGCCTAATTGTTATGCTCAGTAACTCATTAGTACATTGAGATGCGTTATTACTGTGTAGTCTTTACAGTCTGTGTTGTCAGTAACGTTCACCTTGTATAATAGCTAATTTCTCGGGTAGGGAAAGGCGACACTTAACCACCTAGTGTGAGTTTAAGTGATCACCGTCTATTCTGGTTAAGGTCATGTTATACATTGGATAGTTCCCTTAGGATGTATACAGATATAGTACTCATCCGGATATAAATGATTAATTTATTTGATTCTCTGATTTGGGTCATAGTAGAGAGGACTTGCTCGTGGGGTTGACCCACCATTGTTGTTATTTCAGGATACGGTCAGTACCCGTTCCAAGGTTGAGGTTAGCAGTGAGGGACCACCATCCGAACTCATCTACTCTTACGATCCAGTTCAGGGTAGAAGTTTTATGTATTACTTCAGTTTCAGTTTTTATTTACTTTTGACGTTGAACTCTCAGGATTATATTTAGGGATCCTTGACATAGGATTTCCAAGTTGTAATGGAGTACTGTATTTAAATAAAGGATGGATGGATGTTATATTATTTAGTGTTCCTTTCTTATCTAAATTCTTTTATTATCATCATTTTGTATTCCATGCTTGTATATTGCCAATTGTTTTTGATATTCCTCGCCTATCGCATTCCCTCTTTTTAGTATTCGTTTTTCGTGTATAAGCCTGATCAACTTATGCGTGGAAAATGTGGGGGTGTCACAGTTGGTATCAGAGCATTCCAGGTTCGGGTGTCTTAGGGATCTGTGATTTCTATACTTCCGCGTTGTGTATTCTGATAATTAGAGCCTAAATATTAGGGTTCTTTGTATTCTTTTAGTCGGTCCATTATAATATACTGACGTTAGATTTTTCTGAATTTAAAAGAAGGATGTCTCGGCGTGGGACAAGGAATACGAACCGTCATCGCAGTATTTCCCCAACTCAAAATGAGAATCAGGAATTTTCCCCTCAAGTTGCTGATATTATTGCACGAGCTGTAGCAGCAGGAGTAGCATCTGCTCTACGAAACCAGCAACCTCCTCCAATAGTACCTGTTCCTGAACCAGTGGCACAGCCAATGTCATGGGACAAAGTTCGTCACTCGTTCATCCGGGGAAATCCACCGACATTTGCGGGGTCCACAGATGTCTTGTTAGCATATCAGTGGAAACAGGAGAGCGAGCGTCATCTTCGGATGGTAGAATGTCCTGCTCTCCGATCAGATGTGCTTGTATCTGAGCTCTCCATTTCCCTAGTTTGTCGGAATAAAAAATAAAAAAATAAAAAAAAAAGAAAAAAAGAAAAGAAAATTGACAATTGGGTTGAGCTGTCCATCTTATCTAGAGGTGGGTGGCAATTTGTGTTTGTGGTTCATGTTTGTATCTTGTCGATATAAGGGTATTATACTAAATAGGTAAACCCAAACTCAACCCATTTAATAATCGTATCAAGAATCCTAACACTAACCCAACCCGTTTATTAAATAGGTAAACGTGTTAACCCGTTTAATGACCTGTTTATCAAAACGAGATATTTAATATTTAATCAAATACTAAATAATAGAAAAAATTTGTCATAATTAATCCAAAAAAAGAAAAATCATAAAGTATAGACAAGGTTTATGTTGAAATAACTTAATTATCTATAGTAATTGTGTTTAAACAGATAACATATTACATGTATCATATTTACGATTATAACATGTTGAGTTAAATGGGTCATAAACGGGTTACACGGGTTGAACCCCTCAACCCTAATCCGACACGGTTAAGTAAACAGATTAATCGTGTCGACCCTTTTATGACCCAAACCTGTTTATGCCAAATCCAAACCCTTTTAACTCTTGTCGTGTCGTGTCTTAATTTACCACCCCTAATCTTATCACATGAGTTGGTCATGAATCATCTCAATAATTCAATTGGGCCAGGCTGAACTAAAGCCTAAGCCTTCAAAAATAATTTACTCCACTCTTCATCATCTGAACTAGAACCTGGGCTGGGCTTTGCTGGGCCTGAGCAGGTTGGGCCAGCCATATTTGTTAATTTGGGCCAACCCAATCTTAAGCTCCAAAGTCCACGTGCGTACCACGTGACACTTCCCTAACCACCAAATAAATCTGGTGCTGCCGCTGCCTATGACTTCCCTAGTTTTGTTAACGACTAACTACCATGGTTTCTGTGCGCTTTCCATTCTTGTTTTCTCAGCCGCCAAAGCCCCCTAATAACAATGACAGGGCTCCCTCCAGGTCTTTCTCCGCCACCTCCGCCGTGGCTGCCGTCGCTGGTTCCGGCATTGCCGTCGGCGTCACGGTCTCTCACAACCCCACAAACCCGTTTCTCCAAAAAGCTTTGAATTTTTGGGCCTCCAGTTTCTCACCAAACAACAATCACTCCTCTCCCATATGGGGTTCAATCTCTCTGGATTGCAACCCATCTATGGATCCCGAATCAAAGACGTTTCCATCCATTCTGAAAGATTCTCAGCGGCTTCTTGGAATTGGGCGGGAAAAGAGTGTGTTGGGTTTGAAATTTGGTACCACATTTCTTCTTTTCTTAACGTCACTTTCATATTTTATTAGCTGGAATTTCAATTTGCATCTATGGTGGATCGGTCGCACAATTCTACAATTCACTATGTGTTGCCTTCGAGTTTTTTGATTGATACAGCATTTTGGTTTCTTGAATTCGGTTATACCAATTTGAAACAAATTGTTTCCATAATTGGTAGAGCACTGGATTGATGCATGCTTTGTGGAGTAATTGCCTTATTTTACACCTGTACAGTCATGCCCTAACTTGCTCAACCTACCTTGATATTGCTTGCCATGAACATACCAATACTAATACATTATTACTCATACATTTTCTTCTTCTTCTTCTTTTATTTTTTATTTTTTATTTTTGTCTTTCTACATACATATTAGTATCATTATTAAGGATAGAAGGAGGAGCCGAGTTGATGGTTCATCCTTACAATTTTTCGATCTGCAAATTCTCATAATTCTAAAACACAAGTATGTCATTCTGCAGGTGTTTATGTTAACAATGATGATGTTAAAAAAATTCTGGGCGAGAAATATGGGGAACTATCGGCTTCTGAACTGAATAAACTCAAGAAGTTCAATGAAGATCTCATGGAAAATGATATAAATATGACAGTTAGACTTCAAATAGATGTTGAAAGATTAAGCATTCGTTCTGTACGTAATGCTTTCAAAGAGTCTGTAGGAAGCAGGCTGCAAAAGTTTGGGGGATCAAAAAACAAAGAATTGCTTCAAAAGTAAGTCATTCTTTTACCATTGAGCATCTATAAAATTTTAATGTGTGCAACACTCATGAAATAATAACCTTTTTTTTCTTTTTTCGCTTCAAAGATAAGTCATTCTTGTTCTGTTTGGCATTATTGGTATCGTAATACACCTTTATTTGACTACATTTGAGTTTAGAATTTTTCTGAAACTCGCCGACTGTTCCTATGAAACTTTTCTGTGTATCTGACCCCTCCTAACATGTTTTTGCTTTCACTTGCATTGCATTTTTCTCTGCCTTTCACTAAAAAGTAACATTTTTTCATCCTTGTCAAATCTAAAGTTTCTGCTGGGGTGGTCTTCTAATGAAGTTTTGAGAAATTTATTCTATTTATTATGTGATAAATTAAGGGCAATACTTGCCTCCTACTCTGTAAGTTGGAATTTTCTTCTCCTGGGTGATGTGGCCCAACAAAGTTTTGACACGTATACCGAAGCTATGTAATATTTAAAAAAAGGCCAAATTGTAACAAACCCTTTTCAATGGGTTAAACCGATTCATATATATATCTATATAAGAACATATATAGAGGGGAATTACTCGACTCTGTGTCTCTGTATATAAGATATGCAGAGAGAGAAGTCCGTATATTTAATATGGTATCATACGGCACTATGTATCTATGCATATATATATATGAGAGAGGGGCATCTCTCTATGTATCTATAAGACAGCGCCTCTAATTATACAATAGATATATAATTATATATATATACACACACATATATAACCTGATGCTCAAGTTGATAGCCTCTAATCCAAAATACGATGTAATAATCAGATGCTTCAATGGGTTCGAATTTAGGAAACACATTGAAGCTTTGGGGGTGTCCATGGAGATTGATTAGGGTTTCATGGATAGCAGATTAGAGATGGAAATTAGGGGAAGAGAGACGATTTTAGAAGCATTCTCAAATGAGTTTTAATTTGAGCCCAGTTAACCTGTTAAAAATGGGTTAAATTTTGTTGGACCGCATCAGCAAGCAGAAAGAACTTCCTACTTATGGGGTAGGAGGCAAGTATTATTCATAAAATAATAAATTTGTTCATTAATCTCAAATCTGGAGGAAATTTTTACTCATTAATTAAGTCGTCATGTAGCTTGTTTATTTTTAAATTTTAGCCTAACAGCCATTTTCATTACAGATTCACCTCCCACTTTAAAGATGAATACAAACTACCTCGGGGATCAATTATAGATCTCTCAAGGGAACAGGGTCACATACTTCGCACCACAAGTAAGATGATCTTCATGTTTATATTATTTTATTTTGCAGCATATTTTTCTTTGTACGTATTGCTGCAATGATTTTGATTCTTATATGGTTAAAAGTTTTATCAGCATCTCCAAAACTAAACTACATCTGATAAAGTTTAAGTTTTTGTATTTTACTCGTATGGAAAAGAAGTGGAAGACAACTGCCATGGAATTTTGACCAAATAACTAGAAACAAAAATTCTATGAATCTGAACTAAGACCAAGGGTGCCAATTCTGATATGGCCATGCTGTTCTAGGATCCACATGGAATAAATGATCAATTTTTATTTTCATATCATTTGATTGTCAGAATTTCATCAACCAATATAGTCACTTGTACCAAATAACAACAACAAAGTGTTCCTATATGAGTAGAGTAGCATAAACAGAGACACCATTTTCATTACAGATAAACCTCCCAGTTTAAAGATGAATACAAACTACCTCGAGGATCTATTATAGATCTCTCAAGGGAACAGGGTCACGTACTTTGCACCACAATTAAGATGTTCTTCATGTTTATATTGTTTTATGAAGCAGCATATGTTTTCTTTTCTTTATACATTTTGCGTTGCAATGATTTTGACTCTTATATGGTTAAAAGTTTTATTAGTCTCCAACAATTTAACTGAAAGCGACAACATCTGATCAAGTTTTTGTATTTTACTCCAAGGAAGAGTACTGGAAGAAACGATTCACTAATAATTTTCATATCATTTGATTGCAGAATTTCATGATGCAAAATAGTCACTTATACCAAATTACAACAACAAAAAGTGTCCTATATGATATATCAGAAAAAGTAACATCGAGTTAAGTAGCATAAAGTCATAAACGCACAGGATACAATGCATTTTTATGTATAGTATGGACTATGGACACTAAAAATTCTGAAAATTTAGGACATGGATACACAGTGAGGATCATCATCATCATCATCCTTGCCTTTGTCTTCTATGATAATGGTGACATGCATGCATGCCTGACAAATATTTAAATTTTTTAAGTTCTCTGAGAGGGAAGATAAAAGTTGACAAATATCGTAGAAATACCTCAACTTTATGGAGAATAAACTAGTCGTCTAATTGTTTGGTTTCGTTAAGGAAATTTAAGTTCATATCTAATTTTCTTTTGCTTAACTAAGAGATGTAAAAAAATCATCTTGTTATATACCTACACTGCCTATTTTTGGTGAAATTCATCATTATATTGATTTAGTTCTTATTTGCTTAAACAGTTGATGGGAAAGTGGTGGGAAGTATCCAAAGCAAACTCCTATGCCGGTCAATATTAGATCTATATATTGGTAACGATCCATTCGATCGACAAGCCAGAGAGATTTTATCTCCTTCAAAAGTAGGTCTCTGATCATTGAAAATCTGTGATCCGCGTATCCACATGAGAAATTTTATCTTCACCATTAAAATTGTATCTGGTTAAATTTTATCATGGATAATGTGTTACATTTCAATATTTTATTATTTTAATGTGTTCTTATTTACATTTCAATTTTATCTTCACCATTAAAAAGTGCTTGAAAAAAAAGGATAGATTATGTTACTGCTTGGCTGAAGTATTTGTCAAATGATCTTCTTAAGGGTCCAGGGATGGGGTTATATTAATGAGCTACTGCTTAATATGGTGTATTTCATCAATGGTAAAATGTCTATCACTTTTTACTCATCAACAAAAGTGCTGTAATTCACCTTTTAAAATGGTGGAAGTTCAAACTTCAAAGTGCAAATGAGAGGGCATATTCCGCATAGAATACTTTTTTTATCCAAATAAATAGAGTTAGTCACATAAATTCTCTTTTTCCATTCTATTTTATTATACATTAGAATTTTTTTTTTTTTTAAGATTTAATGTTTTAAAATCATTTTTAATTACTTTGCCCTTCACCTGTGTTAGTTTTGGCTGTCCTCATATTAGTTCCTTCATTAGTATGGGCGAGATTTTATCCAAAATATCATCTACACTAATTTTATCCCATACTAATTTATCCATACAGAAAAAATAGTTTAGATAAAATGTATCCAAAATTCTTGTTTTTTTAGAAAATAAGAGATACAAAGCACATTCCGTAAATGAAAGTGGATAGAAAGTACGTATGTACTAGAATGTGCAAAAGGGGACTAGATCGTGGAATAGTGCATCATCTTTCGTCCTGCTTGAGATGTATCTTACAAAAATATGCACATTCTGTGAATGAAAGTGGACAGAAAACACTTACCTACAGATTTTCGCTCATGATCCAAATATATCAAATCTAGCACACTAATGCCTTTTTTTCCTAGTTGTTAACAGATTTTCGGGATGATCTAAATATATGAAATTTAGAACACTTACGTATTTTTCCAACTTTTTTTTTTAAAGAAATGATTAATCTTGAGTCGTTTTTTAAAATGAGAATAATACTTCTATGGTTCCCTAATCGAAGTCTCGTTTCCATCCATTCTCAGCGGCTTCTTGGAATTAGGCCAGCTTCCTGTATATTAAAATATAAGCATTTGTCCTTTCAATTTACCTTCAAACAGCTTTGACTATCGAATCCAATCTATGAACCAGGGAAATATTAAATTTGTAACAGGAGAGAAATTTTCTTAACTTCTTTTTCAGTCCCAAAAATGGATTAAAAAATCTACATTGGAAAAAAATACAAATTACATTGCTAAATGATTTGCAAACAGATGTGTGACAAGACTGTAACTGCTAATAACCAGAATAGGATAACACTTGAGATTAACTATAGAAAAACTCACTCATTTATATCAGCATAAAATCTGCCACTAAACTGTCAGCAACTCCTGAAAAACAACAGCAAGCTATATATGTAAGTTATTTTTTATGATAAGATAACCATATCAGTTGAATGCCCCAAAACTATGAAAAGAATAGTTGAGTCAGATGAGACGTCACAGGTAATAAATATATTGAAATTCATTGAACTCTGGAGTATGCTTGATAGACCATCATTACAAATACAAGCAAACGTTAATATTTTTTTCCCAATTAAACTAAAGAGAAGTTAGTTCCTCTTTCAGTAAAAAAAAAGGAACGAGGAAAAAATATATATATATCACTCTCTTATATATCCTTCACATTTTTTTTTTTTGGTGTAATTTTCATCCTTCAAATATAGGCAGATACATGTTAGACTCATCAAGCCAGTCGAGAAGATTTTACCTAATTTTCTTCCTAGACGTTTTCAAATTTTTTACCCTTTCTTCATTTATTTGGTAAGTGACACATGGCCTGAACAACTTGACCCAACTCAAATTTATCCTATGGAACCAAAGTTCTATGTGATCATGTTGGATATAACAAAGTTGCAAAGTGTCAATTATGAAAAAAAAAAAAAAATTTGCAAGTGTAACCTCAAAGATGGATCCGAGGCAGCCCTCCAGGCCCATCGCCTCAAATTAGGAAAAAGAATAGGAAATTTGCAACTAATTAATAGGTCAAAAATAACTCAGTTAAGCCCGAGCACAGATCATTTTTAAACTGTCTCTTGGTTTTTACCCCCCTTCTGTGGATCTATATACACCTACTGTTTACAAACCCTCGAGCACAGGCCTACCAATAGAAACCCCTGTATAATCCCCATCACTTAGAAGTATGAGAGGTTTCTTCAATATCATAAAGTTATCGATGTGTTTGATACCTTCTCTTTCTGCTTGTAGGTGGAATCCATCTTCTTCATATAGTCATCTGTCACCTTCTGCACAAACACAAAATTTATGAAGTCAAGCACAAAGCGCATTCTGCAATTTCCTGTAGTAGTAAGACATGAAAATTAATTATTTAAAATAAAATTAAATAAAAAAGATGCAAGGACCTTGGATAGTAAAAAAGAAAATAGGAAGCCCCTAATGTAAGGATGAATTTGAATTCAACTATAAGATTTTTACAGCCACTGGGATGGTTTCAAGGCCCCACCATAAAACAACACAATTCAACAATTCCAGCTAGGTTCCAATTATAAAACGCCAAACTACCTCAACTAACAGACTTGCCACAATATCCAAGTTCTTGTCAATGTACATCTCTTAATCATGATTGCAAAATTTGGGGAAAATATCTTCTTCTTTTTGGTAGCAAGGAAAGGTATATCTAATAAATCCTTTTCAACAACCTCTGAGATGAACCTAGAACACCTCCCCATAAAGGATCCACCACCCAGTATATCTCCTTTTTAGAAATCACCACAACAGTGGTTTCAAACAAATTTACAGAAAATTAGAAAAATGATCAGCCAAACCTAGTAGAAAAGATCATGATTCGCTGAGTTTCTTTTAACAAGTACAAATACTCCCTTAAAATGATAGATTGCATAGAACAATTCTAACACAAGTCTTTCAGATGTCAAGTTGGTTATGGACCTGCAAATCAGATGATAAGTCTTTCACGATGTCTTCTGAGAGCTTTTTCTCCTGCAAAATAGAGTACAATCCTAAGAAAGGAAACCTAGACTGGAAAGGAAGAGAATGAAAAGAGAAGGCACAGAAGGAAATACTGAACAAAACCTACAAGATTCACACCTTTTCAAGTTTTTCATAGGCTTTTATGGCGTCTCTTCTTATATTCCTCAATGCTACCTACAAAAGATAGCAAAGCTCAGAAAAAGGTTTACAAGAGAACAAGATTAAAAAAAACAGTAGATATTATAGAAAAACCTTTAGTGTCTCAGATACAAAACAAATTTTAGCATGTCCATTAATCTGGATTGATCAAATAGTGCACAAATGGAATAGACCAAAACACTACAGACATAAATGTATTGACCAAAGGATTAAGTAAGATATACAAATTAAAATATCATGTCTTCAAGTATTCTGGAAAGTGCCCTGAGCATACCTAACAATGAGTGCCTAGATATATATTATCCACATTAAAACAATAAGTGACATTTTACTGATGATTAAATACGCAACATAAGATCAAATATCACTTGTTTCTTGAGCTTTCAAAATAATAAAACAAATTCTTTCGGGGGGATATCTCCTAAATGTTATGTGGCTCTTCCATCCTGCCAAGTTTGTCCACTTAAAATAAGCAATGAAACCCAGAAGCACTAATAACGAGTGAAATCTTATCGGAAATTAGTGGAGCTATGTCGGACCATCTGTAAAATATACGAACCTTCCCATCCTCAGTCTGTTTAGCGACAACCTTTAATAATTCCTGCAACAAGCAAATGAAAAAAAAAAAAAAAAAATGAATAGTCAACAATTTTTTTTGGCAGAATGCTTTGCAGAAATACTTATTATTTGAGGTTTAAAAGGCATTATACTTTTTGGTTAAGTTTCAAAAAGGAAGGGGGGCAGCGAAAAAGAAGAGGCAGCAAGGTTTGACAGTCCTATAATTATGTTTAGTGTACCCAATAATAATACGACGACTTGCAAAAGCATTGTACTCTACGATATTGCTATTCAGCAAACTCAAATCCGTCATTTGCTTTTGTCACATTTCATTCTAGACGAATGCACGTCTTCCTAGACTATGCGAGGAAAATATCAAGAAATTTTCAATTCTTCTGCTCCATTTATTTTAGTAATATAGTTTTCTCTGTAAAATCTTTTTCATGTAAAATCTCTTCCACGTAAAACATTTTCTTGAAAACATTCTCTTTGTTCAGCTTAAATTCCCAAAATATATTTTGACCAAAAAAACATCCTTCTTTCTAAAAATTCAATTACTTTTAACTAAACCATATGAAGCAGAAACTCTGAAGAAAATATTCCTTTCTTTTTTTAGCAGTTTCGTCCACAAACCCACACAATATATGTGTGCACGTGCAAGAAAAGAGAAGGATGGTAATTGACAATGTTTTTGACAATAGCAGGTACTCTAACAAAAGCAGCAGCCCTTAAAATTTCAATGAGACGAAAGAAGACAATATCACCCTCCATTCTTGCATCTCAATTCAGGCAGATGACTTTATGCTCTGACTGTGTTACCATGTTTTTTTTTAATATAAGATAAGGGTAAGTTTTATTCCGACCAAGTATGCAGATTCAGGTGCATGATACATATCGGTACTCAATAATATAGGCAATATTCTCATTAGTCATCACATAGAAATAATATAAATAACAAAAGTTCACTTTTGCTCAGCCTGTAAATATCAGTTATACGTAGAAGATAAGACAAACAAAAGAGGAAAGACTTGGGTAACTTTCATGTAACTGTTAACATGGCAAGAGATCAAGACAATACCTTCCTTCTATCTGAAGTCAGTTGAGGAAGGGACAATCTTATCACTTCTCCATCATTATTGGGTGTCAATCCAAGGTCAGAGCTTACTATGGCCTTCTCTATAGCCTTTAAGCTGGAAAACCATTAAGTGTCAAAAGATATATGCACCAGCCCAACATATAATCGATTGCAAATGAATTCATGTGTAGACCAAAATCAATAGTCTGCAACATGATACAAATACACCAAAATGAACTTATTCTACATTGCCTAAAAGATAATAAAAAGACATCAGGTTAGAGAAAATTCACTATATTCAATAAATTCAACTCAACATAGCCTTTTTTGAACTATTTTAAAACAGCTATATGAATCAAATTTTTCCATTCCTCTGTAAAAGGCCATAGCCTCAATAAAACTACGTGTTAACATGTCATTCGTTCCTAACCCTACCCACATCAACTTTAGTCTTTCCCTTCTCCTAGCATTCCCTAAATGTGGAACATTCCACTCTTCGTAACTGGCGCACTTTCTGAACCATATTAGTCGATTTTATCTTGATTTATATCTAATAGGTGCTACTTCAACCATATACAAATGTATTCATTTCAAATCATATCCTTTCTTATCTTACAACACAGCCATCTCAACATTCGCATTTCCACCACGCTTTATGCATGTGTTGTTTCTTAGTTGTCCAACATTCCACCCTATAAAATACAGTTGGTCTACGTCAGTCACACCATATATTATATGCACATCCTGCATTAGTTTTATGGTTAACATCATTTCTATTTTCTCTTTCATTATGAATAATTGAGCCTAAATAACAAAAAATTCACATTTTTGAACCTCTTGATCCCCAATATTCACGGCCTCAAATTTACTATAAATTATATCCAGTTTTTTCTTACTTAACCCGTTTAATTCTAGAGTTTCCCTCCAAATCTCCAATTTATAACTTACTCCTCCTAGAGTTTAATCAATTAAAAGGATATCAACAAACAACTTTCACCATGGAAACCCATCCTGAATGTGTCTTATCAGTTAACCGTTGATGTAAGTTTATAATAATTAGAAATTTTCTTGTTCTCCTACAGTCATTCTAACTATAGTCACACATACATCACATGTCCTTTATTGTGTCAATGTATCTTTTTGTGACTTCTTTCTAATCTAGAACCCTCCATATTAAATTTTTAGGTTACAATGGCATAGGCTTTCTTAAAATCAATATAAATTCTCTATATCTTTCCATTAATCTTCAATAAGTAAACGGCCTCCATGGTGATCTCCTTGGCATGAATATAAATTGATTTTCTGACACTTAAGTCCCTCGTCTTAACTCTCCCAAAGTTCCATAGTATTGACTCGTCGCACTCATTGACGCAACGGGAAAATATGAATCTCCAAGGTTATTAAATTATTCTAAGCCTAAACTTCCTAGATGCTTTTCATCTAATAATTTCTCAAAGTAACTTCTCCGAAATAAAAAATAATTTAATCTCATCATAATTTACTAAAACATTTTTTACTCATGATGCATTTAATATGGTTAACACTCTAGTTTTTCTCACTCTTGCTTTAGCAAGTCTATATATATTATTTTCCCCATCTTTTGTGCCTAATTTAGAATACAGATCAACATATGATCCATATTTAGCCACTCTCATTGCTTTTTTTACTTACTACCTGACATTCAGTATTTTTCAAAAGTTTCTCAAAATTCACTAAATTCAATGGTCATGAAATATTTGTATCTATTTGTTTTCCAAAAAGCGCAAAAATCAAGCAAGTTTCCACTCATAACATATCCACTGAAGATAAACAAATAAGGCATGAACCACATTTCCCTCCACCCACAATAGACATCAGCTCCATGAGAAATCAGTTTACAGAAATTGTACCTGGATTTGTCGTAAGGCTGCACCAGGAGAGAGCTTGAATCAGGAGTACTGATTTGAGCTATGCTCTTCAAGCTGACTGGAGTCCCATAGTACTCTACCTAAAAAAGACCAGAACAGAATGCAGACATCAAACAACAAAAATAATCACATTAACCACCTCACATCCATTGTAGTAAATATGCAAATCTGACTGAACTGGTTCAAATCCTGATTTTAAAGACAAAGTTCAACACTTAAACGGGAATAAAGAAGCCCACACAAGTTGAAATGCTAATGTAGCAAATTTTCATACAAAATCCATCTGTGTAACTTAGATTCACACAAATCAGAACTCATCGAATATGACCATTCCACCTTAAGTATGAGGGGTCTTTATCCCGCATAGAATAATGAAATGTTGCAAGACTGCAGCTGTCTAGCTGTAAAATACTGCTTAATAATACTAATAGGACTCCTGCAGAAATTTGTCTCCCATTTCCTAGTCAAACTACTAGTATAAGTTTTATTTGCCAGCCAATCTGCAGCCATATTAAAACACTCTAAAAACATGATTAGCTCAAATACTACTTGTGGGGTTCTTTAATATAAAGTTGCTACAAGTAGCAAGGGTAATATGGAAAACATAAAATGTGAAAGATCCAGACAACATAGAATCTGAGGTGGATTGAGGGAGGTGGAAGCACAGGCAAACTTGAGAGAGAGTGTGAAGATGGCAATGTAATAATACGCTATTGACTCCCTTGGTGAAGATGCGTGGAGAAAGCATGGGTGTGAGAGAGTCTTGGAGCTCTCTCCGTGTAGAGTAACATGCTTCAATGCATAACGCTTCAGCTTTATATTTCCAAAATCCTAGGCAAAAATTTGCAACTGGTACGATGTTGCATTAACATATAAATAGAGCTTTTTTATCCTCCTTGGCCCACACATACTCTATCCAGCTCCTCTACTTCTTTTATAGGTATCCAGTACATTAATATTAGGAATAAAACCCAGCTGTCTGATCAGTTATATATTTGTCAGAACGTTCATCAGCAATTTTTTATGCTTCTGAATTAGTTGATATTATCAATTTATGACAGAGGAACTAATACAGCAGAACCCCAAATAACTACACATCATTAATTTATACAACTTATCTTGTATATTTACATACACTTGATATTTGTATGAGATAAAAGAGCAGGAGTTCTTTTTTTCCCCTCTAAGTTCTAGTAAAGACTAAAATGATGAAAGTCTGAACTAGGATTTAACATAGATTTTGCTTTACCAAATACAAAGAACTGGGTAAAGAATATAATTTCCTTAAAGATAACAAACCCCAAGTTGTCCACTCCACACTAAACACTTTTGCATATTAGCTTTAGAATTATTCATATCAAATTAAATGAGCCTAAGAAGCCACACCTTAAGTGCCAGAGTGTCAACATTAGAACATCTTCTTAGGTATACGTTAAGTGTCAACATTATAACATCATGTGTCTTTATTTTCTGTGGCTTAAATGACATTATTCCAGGACACATTTCAGCAAACAAAATATCAAGAGAACCAAAAAGCAGAAGTGGCCTTAAACTACTGAGGAAAAACAGAAGTGACCTGCGTGTGAGAATTCATACCTCAACCCGATCCAACATGGATGGGTTTGCTCTCCCTGTTCTTATGGAATTGAAATTCGATCGAACAGTTTCAATTGTCTTCTCCATCCTTGCTTTCTGAAAATAAGTAACATTACAGACAAGGATCATAGTTATAAGTTACCTATTACCTAAGTCCCCAATGATAAAAAAAAAAAAAATCCAACAATTCTAAGGGCAACTACCCCGCGCGCACACACACAAACTTACGACATCTTTTTCAATCAATGATTTCTCGGCCTCAATTTCTTCAATAGTTGCACACCTAAAAATTCCTGTTCTGAAGAATAATCCACAAACGACATGACACAAACAATAAGTTGAAACCAACAACATTAACCAAAAACATGCCACAAATTTTGAACTCAATTTTCGCAGCCATAGCAAGTGTGAAATTTAATCAACGAAAATAGACTTGCGGCACTTGCCTCTTTTCAGACAATCGTTTCACAGCAAAAGGTTTTCCCACAAGTCTTCTGGTGCTAGCCTGAAGTGCAACGTAATTCCCAGCAGAGCTCCACGAAAACACAACATTGCGAAAGGCCGAATTGAATTTCTCGCAATCTGTAACACAAGTAACGAAACTATAATAGATTTATGCGCGAAACACAAGAAAATCAATAACTAATGAACCATCACCGACTCCGTCGAGTCGCAAGAAAGGACAGTAAAATAACCCTTAGGAACACGGTTAGGGCCAGAAAATCAAGAACTAGTGAACCATCACCGACGTAAGAAAGGACAGTAAAATAACCCTAAGAACACGGAGCAGGCCCAGATAATCAAGGCCTAGCGAACAATCACTGACTCAGTCGAGACGCAAAGAAAGATCTGTAAAATAAACTAAAACGGTGCAATGTAAAGATGCCTCGCATTGATTCATATCGAAAGAGCCAAATACAGATGATAATAATAATAATAATAATCAAGATAAATAAAGACGAAGATATCTACAGTGTACGGACCTCGAAGGGATAGTAGGGTTTTGGGAGGGTTCGTCTTGTTGTTTGGGTGCAGGTAGATGGTGCGTCCAGGAATCGCAGGCGAAAACGACATTGCCATTAGAGATAAGATACAGTGAACGAGTGAGTATGTTGAAATGAAGAAGACGGTAGTTTGGGTATTTTTATATATTAAAAGTGACAATTGTTATTACCACTGGTGAGATTCGTGAAACTCCGACTTTCAAAAGAAATATTAAAAATTTAAAAAAAATTAAAAATCCTATAATTACAAAGTAAACCCTGATCTTTCTAAAATTAAATGTTTTACCCTATGTCACATAATATAGAGATGGAGCCGAAAATTCCAAAGCACGCAAAAGTGACAGCTATAAAGAATAATTATTTTTACAATTAGAGCTGTCAATCTTTTACCAATTTTAATAATTATTTTTACAATTAGAGTTGGTCTTGAACAATCTCAACTTAATTTTTAATTTGAGCTTAAGTTAAGGTGTCAGCAACCCAACTTAACAGAAACTTAAGTTTAAATTTTAAATATATTTTATATATCTCAAATTCTTATATTGATACTTTGAAAAATTAATCCACTGAGAATTTCTTAACAGCTTTTTTAGAAATATGCATTATTTTTTAAAAATTTGTTATTCTTTATAATAATTTTACCTAAAATTGATCCAAGAACAATTTAATTTTGAACTTGATTTTTCTAACTTAGCTCAACCCTAGTTTAAAAATTTTGAACTTGATTTTTTATATATTCACGCATGCATCCATGTGCGCACAAGTTTAGTGCAACTCAACTAACCTGACCTAACTCGACCATGATCTTTTTAACCCAAGGCGTGATAACAATGCTTACAACGTGGGTTAAGCTAAGGTTTTCAAATTAAAGGATTGACCTTGTAATTATTAAATGAGTGAGTTGAATTTGGGCTTTTCAAAATAATGAAGAGTCAAAATTCAATTGAATCTAGAAACAGACAATCAAATCTGAACAAACCAGAACTCAATTCGGTTAATTTGTAACTCTAAGGTTCTGTTTGGATTGAGGGATTTGGAGGGATAGTGAGGGAAAAGAAATAAAAAAATAGTGTAAATTGTGCGAATAGATCAAAATTATTGTTATCTTTTCATTTATTTATTATTATTATTTTTCTCATAACTAATGCTATCATTTCTAAATTTACCCAACATGTTCGCCAAATCCATATTTATGATTTTAGCTCAAATTACGTGGCCATTGTCGCTGGAGGATATATATGAACGTGAGTGCATCATGTTTACAATGGTAATGAAAAGAAAATAAACTGGCTCTATCTTTCTTTGTAATCCTCTCTTTGTGTCTACACTTTCTCTACATTTATATAATATAGTAATCCTCTCTTTGTGTCTACACTTTCTCTACATTTATATAATATATCTTTCTTTGTAATCCTCTCTTTGTGTCTACACTTTCTCTACATTTATATAATAAGCACCCTCTTTTTATGTTGTTTCATTTTGTTTTTTTCTTTTAACCAAGCTAGGTATATAAGTAGGGGTGCAATTAGTTGAAAGGTTGAATTCCAATCCAACTCACAATATGAGGAATATTGTCCGAGCTCTCGGGTTCCCCAAGCTCAGTTTAGGAAAAGGTAGGGTGAGCACAATCATGTTCGGATTGTTTGGGTTGGTTGGGTCAGTATTTAATTCAGTAAAAAATTAAATCAAAATTTTACAACAATCAGACCTTGCACTATTGGGTGCAGATAAATGTGCAATCCACGTTTAAAATTTTATTTTTAGATGGAGCTCTAGGTGGATAACATAGACTAAGAATCATCAAGTTCATCTCAAAATAGTTTTGGATTAGATTGCTTCTTGTAAATTTCTCAAAAGTTACAAATAAATTCTGAAGCCATCTGGTATGTGCAATTCTGAGTTTTTGGGAGGGGAAAAGTAAAAATTTTATAGATATATAATTGAAAATAAGAAAAATTAATGATATATAACCAAAAATAAATAAATAAATAAATTCATTGCCCCCACGGACGGTAAAATGCCTCTGTCCCAGGCTCCCACGCAAATTTTTTTTAAAGAGTCGCCACATAGAGGATGCTTGGGGAGTCTTTTGTGGGATTGTCAATAAATAAATATATATTGACCCCCATAAATATGGATTCATAAATGTGGTGCATATTTGATGGCCTAAGTCAATTAATTCTTCAAAGTATTAATAAACATAATAAATTATTCAGATTTAAATAAAAAGAAATCGAAAAGAAGAGGGTAATTACAATTTAAATGATATATAATATATTTAAAATTAGAGTTTGTGGATACACACCAATTAAAACCACAACTTAAATTAAGTTTGAATAAGAGATTTTTCAATAAATTCAACTCTAATTATAGAAATAATTGTACAAACGTGTGAAAAATTTGGGAAAAAATAGATTTTGGTAATCATTTATTAAACAAAAATTGTTAAAAAATGACCACAAAGTCAAAGATAATAGTCACCAATTTTGAAACTTAATTGCTAATAAGTGACATTTTAGGATAATTTGATCAAAACATTTATTTGTTTATTACACATTCTAAAAATAATTTGTAGATCGTAAAATTACCTTTGGATTCATCCTCGTCTCTTTTCTCATTGAACCTTCTCTTATTTCCTTTTTAGTTTACAAACCTACCGATTAAAAAATTAAGTCCTCTTTAATAACCTTATCTCTTAAAATTAGAGTTTCATTAAACCTTATCTTTTTTTCAAGGTTACCATAGTCCAAAAACATATATGAAGTAGTACATAACCAAAAGTAAATAGAAATATTACTCATTTATATTCGATCACACACGCTTGAAGTTCATAGTATATATTAATAATTTAATAACATCTCTGTTCGTTTCTATACACTATATATACACATACCTACCAAAATATACATATATATGAATATGCTTATACATACGTGGGTACGGCCCGTACGGGTACTAGTAATTATATAACCATGTAATCAAATCTTCCTACTAACGTATCATCCCTGTAAAGTAGTGAATGTGTAATAATTTATGTTTAATTGGAATTAGTGTGTAGAGTAAATTTGTTCGATTAAAAAATAAATTATTGCAAGAAAGATATTTAGGTAATAAATTATTAAATGGTCATTTGTTATTAATTAAGTTTTAAAATTTGTGATTATTCAATCTTTCATGACTGTATTATAATTTTGTTTAAATTTGATTACCAAAATTTAATTTTTTTCTAAATATGGATTACATGCAAATGAAGGAAGAAGACAACCCATAAAAAAAACACACAACAAAGGATCTCAGAAAGTTGACTGATTGACTTAGTATTGCAAATGGACGATTCAGATCATCAATCAAGAAACTCTATCATGTTTATGAGTTGTATAAATAAATTAAATTTTGGTAAGAGAATCACATTTAAAATAAGAAATAAATAATCATTAATTAAATAATTAAAGACAACTACTAAAATGGAATGTTTCAACCAAATCTTTTCCTTTCCAAGGCCAGTACTGTATCCACGGTTACGGTTATATATACGCCCTCATTGCAGGCATTACTTTCAACCACTCCCTTGGATCTTTTCTGCCCTAACAATAAAATCTTTTTCTGTCTCGTTCTGTGGGTTCAGCAATGGGTTTGGGTTTGGGTTTGGGTTTGGCTAAGAAAGCCATGGTTTTCTTAGTGTTAATGGCTGTTTCTGGTGTGTCAATGGGTGTTGTGTACAAGGTTGGTGACTCTGAAGGTTGGACCAGCCTTGGTCATGTCGATTACAAGTCTTGGGCTCTTTCTAAGATCTTCAAGATTGGAGACGTCATCGGTGAGTTATTTTTATTGTTTAACATTTTGCCTTCTCTGTTTTTTTTGGTAATTTAATTTACTTGTTTTGCTAGTTTTAATCCATTCAACATAAATGAGCAATAGACCCCATTTGAAGAGGGCTATGAAATTTTCATGTTTATTTACGATTGGTTTTAGCATCTTCATCATTTTCATGTTGTTGTATAACTTTTAACTCTTCACTTTTGTAGTATAATATAATTATATATACAATTAAAGAAAATTGAATATTAAAAGTCCATTTAATGTAATAACGATAATCTGTCAAAGAATTATGTTCTCGATCTCCTAATGTGTTGGTTTTTATTTATTTATTTTTTAAATGTGCCTCTTCTTGACTATATATATAATAATGTATATGACCGACCATTTGTTTCACAATGTGCAGTTTTCGAGTACAACAATCAATACCACAATGTGATACGAGTGACGCACAAAAATTTCAATGCTTGCAATGCAACCGCTCCCTACGCCAACTTCACATCAGGCAATGACTCGTTCACCATTAAAAAGGGAGGCCATTTCTACTTCATTTGTGGCGTCCCAGGGCACTGCCAGGCTGGACAAAAGGTTGATATCAGGGTCGGTACAGCTCCCGACTTGACCCTCCCTCCAAGTTCAAGTTCTAGTCCTGCTCCTGCTGCTCCTGCTCTAGGTCCAAGTGCAAGTTCTACTCCAGCTCCCATTGATGATGAAACAACGGTATCGCCATCACAATCAACATCCCCATCACCATCACCGGCATCATCATCACCATCACCATCACCATCTTCATCTCCAAACAGTGCCTCCACCCTCCTGACGCATTGGTTCTCCGCGGTGGTTTTGGCCTTCTTAACTTCTGGTTTAGTTTTTTAAGGATATCTTCCTCTTTTAATTTGTTTTTCAGTCAGTGTGGACTCGTTGTTTCTGTTGTTTCTGTAGCTGTAGACTTTGACGAGGTGTTATTGAATTTGGTTCAGCTTCATTCGTCTTTTTCACATTATCATTCTGATAATTTATTTTAAACTTAAAATCTGTCATGGATTTTGGTTTTTAACTTTTTTTTTTTTTTTTTTTGGTGATGTAGCCCCCACTTTATTTTGTTTCAGTTCAATTTAGATCTTCTCTTTGAACAAGAAGTGACTTCAACTTTGATCAGTAAGATTTTTCTAGCTCTTTTGTTTTTCAAATAAGATTAGTGATAATCGTACACAAAAGTAACAACTATGTGAATTTAAAAAATAAAAATAAAAATAAAAAACCTGTTAGCTAGTTTCCTTCTATACAAATAAGTTTCGGAATTGTTATTGATTTATTTTTTCAACTTAGCTCAATATCTTTCTTCTTTAACAAAAAAATTTTCTTCTAACAAAAAAATTTCATGCTGTAACCACCAAAGATGTATGATTTGTGCATATGAGAGTTCAAAATGAGTATTGGGTGAATATCTAATAATTCAAAATTATTAAAATGAATACCACCGATTCTTCCTTACTTTTCTTTAGAACAATAATAATAATTACATTGATTGTTCAATTTCCTTTATTCTTTGTATAGAATGAAACTAGCTAACAGTTTTTTTTTTTTTTTTAAATCTTTTAAAATACTAACAATTTATCAAAAATATATATAAATAAAAGCTTGGCATTAATTCTGAAATGAAAGAAAGTAAACATTTAGTACGTTAGACACACATCACTCATATATACACTGCAACAGAAAAAAAACTAAGTTTATAACATCACTCATATATACACTGCAACAGAAAAAAAACTAAGTTTATAATTTAATTTATAGGACAATAGAAACTGATTTAGAAAAAGTTTAACTGGCCCAAAAATAGGTGGAAGAAAGGAAGAAAGACATGTAACTATTATACAGGTTTTAAAGTACTATCCTCTTTAGATTACAATATTATAAATATTATTGGATATAATGTAAAAACAATTAAAAATTAAAAATTTTCTCTTTCCTTCTCTCCTAACTAACATAATAAATTATCTCTTTTATCCAATTGAAGTCCAATTTTTTTTCTTTCCTAAGCATAAAAGTCCATTCTAAATCAATCTTGTGAATGATAAGTGAGGTTGTAAATTGTAGGAGTGGAGAAGATAAAAATAAAAAAATATGTGAGGAATAAGAAAAATATAAAAAATAAAAGTATATAAAAATATAAAAAGTTTCACCAAGTCTCACCACAAATGAATAATATTTATGATGGTTGGTGTAATGATAATGAGGATAGAAATATTTTGGGCCTACTATTAAAATTCACTATTGATTGAAGTTTAATAATAAAAGAAAATAAATTTTTTAGGTAACTTATAATGTATAAGGAAACAAATTTTGTGAGCCCTTAAAAAAAAAAAAAAATGATAAAGAATAGAAATCTTTCAGGCTATCCCTCTATTCTTTGAGATTTAATATTTAACATAATTATTTTAAGAAATTTATAATATATAGAGAAATAAAAAAATTATGGAACCTTTTTATGCATCTCCAACTATAATTTTTTGTGTAAATCTGATGTGTAACGATGGATCTATATAAAAAAATTTGAATTATTTAATTTTAGCTCCAATGGTTGTTTTATACAATATATATCTCCTAATAATAACCAACCATGTGTCATGACTCTACATAATTTTTACAAACCTACTTAATATATGGTTGATTATTTAATCGAATGAGAAAGAGAGATGAAAAAATAAATATATTGATTTGGCAGTGTAAAAGGGTTGTGTATTTTATATAATCCTTTTACACATTAGTAATATGGCAATATATCTTAACAAACTGTTATAGATGGAAAAAATTTACACATCATATGTGGCCGTGTATATTTTACACAAAAAAGTATTTTAACATACCGCTAAGAGCATCTCCAGCAATCTGTAAAAATATCATTTTGTGTAAAACATATAATTCTGTAAAAATATCATTTTGTGTAAAATATATAATGCCATGTATGATGTGTAATTTTTTTTATTTTTTATTTTTATCTCTCGCAGTCTGTTAAGATACACTCTCACGTCATCAATGTATAAAATTGTTGTATATTTTACACAACTACATTAGCATATTTCCTTTCTCTTCCCTCTTTCTCAATCCATTAAATAATCAACCATATATTAAGTAGGTTTGTAAAAGTGATATGGGTCATGACATGATACATGATTAGTTGTATTTGTGGGATATATTTTTACACAAAATGTATAAAACAACCGCTTGTGTGTAAATCTATCATGACACATCAGATTTACACAAAAAAAATGGTTAGAGATGCTCTTAAAACACTCTTTTTGTGTAAAACATACACCGCCACATATGATATGTAATTTTTTATTTTTTATTTTTTTATCTCCTTATGTACACTGCCACATCACCAATGTGTAAAATTATTGTGTATTTTATAAAGGCACATTAGCATATTTTTTGAAATTATTTTTTATATACCATTTTTAAAAATAAGAATTAAACTTTTGTAATAAAAATTTTATTAAAAATTTAGTGGTTATCCAAAATCTATTAGTTTGCCATTTAAACATATTTGAAAAAAATTATTAGTTATTCTAATTGTTGTCAATTTTTATATTTAAATTGTATAGTAATTAGTGAATTTTTTGAAGTAAGAAAATGATTCAATTTTTAAAAATATAAAATAAATAATAATATTTTAATGACTTATTTAGTTTTTTGTTTACCAAATTGTGAATTCTACAAAAGATTTTTTTATTTAAATTAAATGAACTAAATTATAATTTAATAAATATGTAATATTCATAAATTGACTTGAACTAAATTATAATATTTATGTTTTTGTCTGAGGGTAATTTTGTAATTTGTAAAATATTGATTTATGTTTTTTTAAATAAAGTGTTATATCATAAAAGTAATTTAGTCATTTAACAAGTCATTAACAATTATGTCAACTTTATAATAATATTAGGTTTTTACAAACACGTTAGAGTTTTATGATAAAAAATTAATGGTAGTGGAACTTTTATGATTTTAGCCCTTATTATAAAAGTCACTCCATTTGCCAACCTATGAATCCAGCATAAATAAGCTTGCTCCAATCACACCAACACGAAATGGGCTTGAGCAAGAACTGCATGTTGGACACCCCGTTCATGGATCAATTTTAATCCATGGTTTCCGCTCATGGAAGCCCAATAGCTCTACTCTCCACATCGAGAACAATCATCAGCCCACCCCCATGACCACCACTCCCACCGCCACCACTACCGTTACTCTCTCTCTTTGATAAATCTTCTTTCTCCTACATTCCGGTATCTGTACTTCCCAAAACTGGCAACAATATACTACGCTACTTCCTCTTCTACACACATGCCAAGATATATTTACTTTTTCTCCAGCAATTGTAGTTCTTGACTTTCTTTGTTTAAATTTTTTATTAAATCCAGTTGCTGACTCCACTCTGCTTAGCATTGACATCACCAGGCGGCGGGAGATTAACGATTAGGGTTTGATTTTCTAGTGTTTGATATTCGTTAATCCAACGGGTCAGGTGGGTTATCTATCTATCTCGAAACACATGCTGTTCCTATTCTTCAAAACCCTAGGTTTATCTGAATTGTTTCCTTGTGGCTATCGATTTGTGTTTTTTTTTTTCCACTTTTGATGGTATTCAATTCTATCGTTTGATTATATCTCTTAATGGTTTTGAATTTCGATTGAAGAAGCACTCTGTTTTGCTCGCCTTCATTCAGGGTCCTGTTGGTGTTTGTTTTGCCTTATGTTATGTGAGTGTGTTAAAATGGTTAACAATAATAGTGTCCGAGTTAATTTACCCAATAATCAAAATATGCCCATGTTCTAAATAGGATCGGAAATAAGCAGTGAGGTGGTGGTGGTGGTGTCGCCATGAGGCCAACACCAGCTGCTGTAATTTTCATGGACCGAAAGTCTCTTAGTTTTCTTCAGTCATTATGTAGTCTCATTTGTGTTGGACTCACAATCACGAGAGAGGGGAGAGTTCAAAATAAGGTCGGCCATTACTGCCAAGTTACGTGGAAAAGCAATAAGAGTTGTAAAGCTCGAGACACGAAGAAAGAATCGAAATCTTTGGATACCAAAATATATCGAAGGAGTTTAGTACACAATCTTAACTGTTTGTCAGTCTCTCTCTCGATCATGTGTACTTGTATCATGTGTACTTGTGTGTTGTGTGTATGGATATAAGTATGTATACGTGCTTGTTCAAATATGCAGAAAATAGAAAAAAGACACCTATTATTTTTAAGAAAAAAGGGAAGAAAATTATGCTAAGAAACATATGTTTCGATGAATGTAGCTATTCAGATTCACCAAAAGCCCGCCATATGGTCCACAACTAAATATTCGCCTTGCAAGGAGAGTATAGTGGGTTCAATAGAGAGTATAATGAGTTATCTGAATCCAAGAGGAGTTTAGTCATGCCATGCTAGTACAGGCAACTAGCTTACTGTTCCTTCCTAAAGGGTCATTTCAGGACATAATAGTAGGACTTATATATTCAGTTACTTTTGCATTGTAAATCTGCCTTAAAAGTTAGTGAAATTTGGTTTTATCACGGGATTGAGGTTTTTTGTTTAAATCGAAATGCAAGTATTGTTTTTTCTTATTTTTTGAAGTTTATGTATATTTATGGGAGTTTTCAACTAACCCATCGTAATGCTTCATTTCTTGTCTGTTGATAGAACGTTTGTCTAAAGAATGATAGCAGCTATTTCTTGGGTGCCCAAAGGGGTCTCAAAGTCTGTTCCAGCTGTGGCTGAGCCTCCTTCAAAAGAGGAGATTGAAGAGATATTGAAGAGCGGTGATTTTGAAGAACTGTAAGACTTTTATATAGCTTTTTCTTCTGGTTAATTGGTTGATTATCTTCGTCATGGTGAATTGAGCCTGGCATATAACACATCTTGTGAAGATGTTATGTAAATTAAATCTAACGATTTTACATGTGATTTGTTGTTGCTCTCGCATGTAGCAATTATAGTACCAGCATCTTGTTTTTCTCTTAGCATTTTAACATTTTTGTGAAGGGGAAACAAAGGTAGTAAAAGAGAAATGACCATACGGAAGAGCTCAACAAGGAGTCAAAAGGATTTTTGGATTGACAACTATATACTTGAACATAAAACTGTCACAACTGGATGCTTTACAAAATGGCTCTTACTGCTATTGGAATATGTTTTTTTTGGATTCATATGAAGGACAAAGAATAAAAGGCTAATTGACATCAAAATAACTATTTTTTATGTAATCTTTTAATTCGATTGAGTTTCTTCTCATTTTTGTACTTTTTTTGTTTATTTTTGTTTTTGGCAGTAGGGATAATGAGAGTGAGGATGATGACGAGTCTATGAATGTTGATGCTGCCAAGCAGGTTGATGAAGTTGCCCATGCTTTAGCAGCAGCAGATGCACTTGGAAAGGCTTCCAAGAATACAACTAATGAGACGAACTTCGAGAACATAACTGATGGTTTGCGAGAACTAGACATGGAACATTATGATGAAGAGGATGATGGTATTGCTATCTTCCTGTGCTCACTTTTTCTTTCCTTAATTTTCTCACCTTAGCTCCCTATTTGATACTTAAATTGAAGAATCATATTACTATGATTATGTTTACCTAAAGACCTGGTTTAACCTTAAAGAATTCCATAAATATTTTAGTATTAGTCTCTCGTGCGTATATATATATATATATATATTTGAAGGTTTATATTCAGAACCTGTTATTGTTATTTTCATGTGGAAAATGCCATATTGGATTTTTAAGCAAGAATGCATCTCTTCCTGGTTGACCTCAGGCATCGAGCTGTTCAACGCGGGGCTTGGGGATACTTACTACCCTAGTAATGACATGGACCCATATTTGAAGGATAAGGATGTAAGTTTGGCTGCCTTTGTATTTGATGGTTTTGTCTCATCACTTTTGTGCTAGTGTTGTGTTAATTTTACTCTGTTCTTTTTCTTATTATATTATTTTTTGGTTTATTCAGGATGATGACTCGGAAGAACTCGAGGACATGACCATAAAAGCTGAGGATGCTGTCATAGTTTGTGCACGGAATGAGGATGATGTCAGTCATCTCGAGGTATGTAATAGAGAAAATATGCTCCTCCCCCACCTCTCCAAAAAAAAAAAAAATACTCTCATTTTAGCCAGCCAACTCACTGGTAAGCTCAATGTTTACAAGCAGGTTTGGATTTATGAGGACGCTGATGGTGATTCAAATATGTATGTTCACCATGATATCATCATTCCAGCATTTCCCTTATGCACAGCATGGCTTGATTGCCCACTTAAAGGCGGAGAAAAAGGTGTGGCTTCATTTAGTTTTTTGGTTGAAAACTATTTATGTGCAAGCACATGTACTTAGTTTCACCTTTCCTTAAGTGCATGGCGAATGTGGGACTAATGAGAGATGCATATCCAGTTTCTTTTACTTAACAAAAATAAAGCATATCCACTTTTTTCAAGACTAGGCGCAACCTTTGTCTTTTTTTGTTTGTTTTATGCTTTTTATTGCCTTCTCTGCCGACAGTTCAGATGATTTTTAAATTTGATGTGGTTCTATCCAAGGTTTTTAAAATCGCGACTCTAGGTCGTAGAATCGCACAATTCTACGATCCTAGACCCCCAAAACAATTAAACCGCATGAAAATCGCTCCTTTTGGTAGAATCGTAGAATCGTAAGATTCTACCGTTATATATGATTTTATTTTGTGCCTTGTTTGGCCCTTTTTATGGGCTGATATATTGTTTTGATGGGTTGAACTCTTTTATTAAGAAAGCCCAACGGTCTTGGCCCCCAAAACATTAAATATAAAGATGAGAAAATGTGTGTTCTTTGTTTTTTTTTTTTTTTTTGGGTATTTCATTAATTGGTTTCTTAGGGTTTTGATATGCAGCATGCATGGGCATTTGATTAATTGATTTATGTTCTTGGTTTCTTGTTTAGTTGTTCCTAATTTAATTTATGCATGGATATTTCTTCTTCAGTTGTTCCTTAATTTGTTAATCTGTTCTATATTTGTTTTTGGATATAAATTTGTTAATTTTGTTCAGTGTATAATGTTTATGTTCATAATTAAATAATTCATATAGTTAGTAGCACTAGCATCTAATAAGTAATAATTCATATCTAATTGAATTGATGTTGAAAGTTTAAACTTGATTAGTTGAATTATTTGGATATATTAGTAGCACTATATTCTCTTATATATTATAGTTGAAGTGTTACATTTTTACATTTACTGTGTTTTGGACTTATTCTTGCTATATTTTAGAGATACGAGTTAGTTTGAAATGTTTTTCTGCTAGTTTGGTAGAATCTTATGTTTCTCGATACGATTCTACGATTCCGATTCTACGGAGGCCCCAACAATCCTACGTAGAATCCCGATTTTAACAACCTTGATTCTATCATCTACGATAAAAAAACATATTCTTAGTTTTAGAGATACAAAAGCTATTATATAATGTATTGCAGAATGGTGATTACAATTGGAACATAAAATCTGTATTTAGGATTCTGAAAGGCTAAGATACGGCAGAGATATATTGATTTTGGAGATTCAACTGGATCAAATGTTAATTTCTATGACTTCATTACTATTCGGTCCATGGAAGGGGAGGTCCTCGCTTAAGGAGGCACCTCGCTCAGGAATTTGGGCTCCAGCACTAGAAGCTCAAGTGCACATGTGAAAATAGTTGGCAATTGGAAGTAATTCTCACAGTGTTGGTGATATCCTGTTAGGCTGTTCCAGTTCATCGACAAATGCTCCTATTTTCTTCCTTTTTTAGAGGTGGGGCTTTTCGCTAAGAAATGAAGAACTAACATGGCAAGCTATCGTATCTTAGTTTATTATTAGTTTTCCTTTTCTTAGCTCTCTCTCTCTCTCTCTCTCTCTCGGGTTAAAAATTAAATTTACACCCTTTCTAACTGCTTAAGGTTTTAGAGTAGATGGTGGTTAACATTGTATCAGAGCCAAAAAGTCTCGCGTTCAAATCTCACCGTCACCCTGATCATTGTTATTAAAAGCGCACATAGGCGCTAGAGGTCCGTTGGAGCCTAGGCGCAAGGCGAGGTGCACGCCTGAGTGAAGCGAGACGCACAATTGAAAAATTAAATTACTATTAAAGTATATTCATCTAAGAAGCACGGACACTCCAAAATGGGCGAAGAATCCGTGTCCAACACGTGTCGGACACGGACACGCGTCGGACACGCCCCGACACGTGTCGGACACGCCAAAAAACGTGTCTGGAATTTTTTTATTTTTTTTAATTTTCGGACATGGCTTGGACACGGCTCCGACAGCTCGGACACGGCTCGGACAGCTCGGACACGGCTCAGACACGGCTCGGACACACTTTTCTGGATTTTTTTTTTTTTTTTTTTTAAATTTTTAATGCTGATATGTTAATTTTTTTTTTTTTTTTATAAAATTTTTAATGCTGATATGTTCTATTTTTTGTTTTGTACTACCCTAAAGATGCTGATTTATATATATACTAACCTAAAGATGCCACAATTCGCCGTGTCCGTGTCCTAAAGATGCTGATATATATATATACTAACATATCAGTGATATATATATATATTCCAACCTAAACATATCAGTGTTTTTTTTTTTAAATTATTAATGCTGATATATATATATATACTATTCGCCGTGTCCGTGTCCTAATTTTGTGGATTTGCCGTGTCGCCGTGTCCGTGTCGTGTCGTATCCGTGTCCCGTATCCGTGTCCGTGTCCCGTATCCGTGTCCGTGCTTCTTAGATATTCATATTCCATATTAAAGGTGCAAATGTTGTCAATGGCGCACCTGGGCACACAATAGACTCAATTGTTGCACCTGTATGAGCCTAGAGCCTACATTTAACAACATTTACCCTTATATTAAAATTAAAAGCACATGTTGGAGCAAAAGGACACACGTGAGGGAGCGTGTTAGAGGATATAAAAAATTAAAGTTACACCCTCTAACACCTTAAGCTTGTAGAGTAGATGGTAGTTAACACAATGGATTGTCACTAGTAGTATTTGATATTCATTCAAAACTCAAAAGTCTTTATTATTTTCACCTGTATCTGTTACCTTTTCCATTTATTTATTGTTGTCCTTGTTAAACGCCTTTTGTATGTTGGCAGGGAACTTCATAGCTGTAGGCTCAATGGATCCAGGCATCGAAATTTGGGACCTTGACATTGTATGTGGTTTTTGGATCTTGATTTGGTAGACTGTAGGTTTATGAAGCTATTGATGGAGAAGTTATTGCAAAGTCTCTTATTGTTTTTACCATTGTCAGATGGATGAAGTCCAGCCATCTCTGGTATTAGGTGGCATTGCTGAGAAGAAGAAAAAAGGGAAGAAGGTCAGCTAGTGAATCTGTTGTAACTCAAATCTCGAGTTTTATTTGGATTCCACATATTGCAACACTCTTAATAAGGTTTTTTGTTTGTCTCAATCAAAAAAGTGTTTCTTGTAAAAAATAGTCAGTGAATTTGATGTGGAAATTTTGAATGTTTTCTGGCAGTTTTAAATATGATCTGTCTATTTTGCCTACTGCATTTGATTATATTGTATTAAGTGCTACTCCAACAAGTATTTAACGTCCTCAATGTTCTTTCTTGATCATTTACTGAGCTCTGTTTGGCCATCCAAGAACAATTATATTATATTGTCCCGTGTAATGAATCACAGAGATTTTCAACTGATAACTCTGAGTGAAACCCATTAATGGTGGATTTAATGTGTATTTCATGTTTATTCATTATTTATTATTATTTTGTAATAAATAACTCAGCCTGATTTTTATCTAATAAAGTGATTTTTTTCAAGGAACATTTGGTTGGCTCTTTGTGAACTCACATTAATTTTAGGATTTTATGTTGTTTTGAACATTACAAAAGCTTATCTTTTAACCTCTCTTAACAACTCCCATGTTTGCTTTGTGTTAGAAATCTATCAAATACAAAAAAGATAGTCATACCGATTCAGTGCTTGGTCTTGCTTGGAACAAGGAGTACAGGTTCGGATTCTTTTTTTTTTTTGGTTTGATTTACGTTTATTTTAATGCAACATTTATCCTAAATTTTTGTTCTGTTATTTTGCTATAAAAAAATGTATACAGGAACATACTTGCCAGTGCTAGTGCTGACAAACTAGTCAAGATTTGGGATGTGTCAACTGGAATTTGTAATATCACCATGGAGCATCACTCGGACAAGGCAAGAAATCAGCCTTGCTTTACTTAATCTTCTTGTTATAGCTGCGTCTAGGAAATTATTATCTTTTTTGTATTCCCTTTCCTTAGTACTTTCAGTGAGTGATCTAGATACCATTGTGAATACACAATTGGGATAGAGTTTGTATCAGGTTTGGTTTATTTATTATGTTCAAGCCATATCAATCTTATCACTTCTGTAATTGGGTTAAGGGTTGCAAACTTAAATTGATTGTCTATTTTTGGTTGATATGGTTTATCTTTCATTATATATTAAATAAAAAATATTAATTTATGTTGAAAAATAATGTAAAGATTCTTGAATATATTTATAATTATCAAAGGATTGTTTGTAAGCACTAGACTGAATCCAGTTCGAAAGTTCAGACCTCAGTCCGACTCATTTCTAGAATAGTATAACAAGAAATTGTTTTTTGGGGCATATTTTGAACTTGGACAGAATTTGCCAGTTTGTCTTTTGCAAATTTGAGGGTTTTTAACTATACATCTTTAGGTGCTGGTTTCACTAAAACAATATGATGTCTAAGGATGTCTGTGCATATGTTGTTCTAATATGAGGGCCGATGTTTTATTATCTTATTGCTAGAGGTTATTGTCCCACATCGGATCCGGATGGGGAAGGTCTTTGTCTTATAAGGGCGGGTAGGCAGCTCCGCCTAACTGTTTAAGCTTTTGGGTTGTATGGCAAGCGCCCGTTCGTTACAAGTGACGACAGTCCTTGATATGTTTGTCATGCCAAGCACCCACCTGGGTGGTGTCCGGGTGGTCCTCCCACCACTAAGGGGGACAAGTAGGCTTTGTGAGTTCGGGTGGGGGGGCAATGTTAGAGGTTCTTGCCCGACATCTGATCCGGATGGGGAGGGTAATTCCATCATTGAAACATAATGAAGGCAAATAGCTATATAATTTTCTTAAGGGATCAATTCTCAATTGTATCTTCATTAACCTCCTATGAAACATGGACATAGACATTATAACTTTTATATATAATATATATAAATTAAAAGTAGATATGTTATGGACATGACACGATATGGTTACGGTGATACGAGAAATTTTTGAGATGTACACATATAATACACATGTAGATATGTATAAAGATGAATATATATGCATCTATAGATAAATTCGAATAATAATAATTTACGTTATATATATTGTTATTTAACATTTCTTTTTAAAATATTATGAAAGACAAGATGAGAGCATAAGTTATATTTCATGAATAAATTTTGAGCTAAATGAGTCATGGTATATATCTTAGTAGTTTTTTTATTTTTTTTATTTTTTTATTTTTATGTTTTTTTAAAAGAAATTTTAAACATTTTCTAACTATAATACTATGATATTATTCTATGAAAAGTTACATTTTAATATTTGAGTTTGTTAAATACGTGTTATGAAGTATCTGAGAAGTATCAAAGAGTATCGGATGGTTATTAGAAATATTAAAAAAGATATTTTAAAATTATGGATACGTATTTGCAGGTATCAAAGGGGTGTCGGTATCCAACACGGATACGATACAGGCACACCACTCTTTTAGAAGTATCAGTGCTTCATACCTCACAAATTGCCCTAATGGTGGTGGTGGACCCATGATTTAGCACTTTAAAGGAAGGGGGGGGGGGGGGGGGGGGGGGGGGGGAGAATGGTTTGGGGTTTATATAATAATTCTTCAAAATTTTCCTTTTTTTCTCTTTTTTATTTTTTCTTTTCCTGAAATAACTTCATCACAAAATAGTAAAAATAATTCCTTTTATCCTAAATGACATAGTTAATGGAATGAAAAAATCACGGCCTGGCCTTGATCAGGCAAAACCAATTGGAACAAACATCGTAGGTTTGTAGCTGGCCAAATAAAGAAAACTTGTGTTTCCGTTTGAGAATTTGAAAATGGTGATGCCCAAGGAAAGAGAACTAACCTATAAAGGAAATCATAATCACAATGAGACTGAAACATTTGGAAGTTTTTCTTTTCTATATATAAATATTTTTTTTGTTGAAAAATGTTTAAAACTTCTACTAGTGCCTCCAAACATATTCAATGGTGGCTCGATTAAGTTATTTATGGATTATGTCATTACTGCGCGACTTTCTTTTCTTTTCTTTCTTTTGAAAAACATGGCTAGGTAATAGAACACACTACCTCATTAATGTTGTGTCACAAATTGTGATGGTTTAGACTTCCAGTGCTGCTGCCTTACTACAATGGAGTGATCACCTGTGCCTTGTTAAATCATGATGAAGTTATACTGACGCTATAACTATTTCATCATTTGCTTTATCTATGGCTATAACTTCAATTAAACTACATGCTACCATTTTTTCCTTGGCATCATGGCCTCCCTTAATTTTGGATTAATTTCTACTGTCATTACTCTCAAACCACAAGCTGCAATTGGATGTTATAGGTATTTGCTGAACATGATCAGACCATGTTTTTTCCCACTTTATCTTCAGTGTATGCTACTTCCAACATCCTCTTATCTATTCATTTCTACTTTTATCTTTTTTTGTCTTATCACACAAATATCTCAACATCCAAATTTTTGGTCATGGCCATTTTATGAACACATTATTGTTTTGCCACCACAATTATGATTCATCATGAAATAGGTTTCTTAAAAAATAAAATTACAAGCATAACCATGATTTAAGTCTCGTTGCTATTTGCATCAATGCAGTCTTAAACTGATATTTTGACAGTGAAAAGCTTATTAGAATCTTATAATGACAAATTATATGGCAAGTCTTGTGGATTTTTCACATTTGTGATTATACAAAGGTCTTAACTATAAGTTGGCTTCCTTCTTTCTTATGAAATATTTTTGTGGATATTAATAAAGTTTTAGAAAGAAAATGTCAAGAGGGTATTTTCTCCTTGATCTTCTCTTGGATCTTCGGCTTTGCCGCTTTGCCATTGCCTGATTTTTGTGCTGTAGTTTGCTGAAGTATTAAGCAGCTGCAGCACAAACATGAAAGCAGGAGTTTCCACCTTATCCAGCAACTAGTTTCCCTTGTCGTGTCAAATGCAGTTGGAACTAACTGTATTTTTGGGGAGGCTGGTGGGTTTCCTCTACATAAATGTACTCTTGATACTTCTCGCAGCCACTCTCTCTCTCTCTCTCTCTGTTTGAACTTTTTTTTTTTTTTTCCAATTCTGTTTTGAAGAAACCATGCCTTTTTTGGGTTAGTTTAAAAGGTGCTTAATAAGGTAACTTCACAACATGGCATTGATAATTAAGCTAGTTTTGGCTGAAAGACATGAACTCACACATTTATGGCTGTTCCATACTACCAGTTAATGACTTTTGAGGATTCTAATGTTTGTTTGTTTCATTTTTGTTTTGCTGTAGCAAAATTCCACAAGCTATAAATTGTATGTCATGTTCCTATGGATTCTTCTCAGGTTCAAGCAGTTGCATGGAATCATCATGCGCCACAAGTTCTTCTTAGTGGATCTTTCGATCATTCAGTAGTCATGGTAATAGAGATCTTCGTTTGTTTTAATCATTCATTATGAATCATACAACTATTATTTTACATCGTTCATTTTCTGTTTCCTACCTTGCCATGAAGATATCCTAAATAAATATGTATTTTTTAATTTCAGAAGGATGGAAGGATACCTTCGCACGCTGGATTTAAGTGGTCTGTTGCAGCTGATGTTGAATGCTTGGCATGGGATCCACACACTGAGTATTCATTTGTGGTGTGTGTTTCGACCTTGATATCTATTATTGCAGAATCTACAGTCATATTCAAGGTTGTAATTTAAAAATCAGCAACGCAGTGCTGGAGCCCTCTTGAAACGGGGACACTAGCCCCGCCCCCCCCCCCCCCCCCCCCCCCTTTAGAAATAAAATATGTTACTAAAATGCACCAATAAAATATGTTAAAAGAATATTCAAAATTCCAAAAAAATTGACAAGTGGGATTCACCTTTCCTTACTTCCAAGTTTAGTAAAGATGCTCTTCAATTCAAGAAGAAGTTGCTCAACTTAAAGCATACGAGCACTGATTCATCTTCCCTCAAATGCACCTCATCAAACAACGAGGGGCTGCAATCCATGCTTCCTTACTTGTTCTAGAAGCTCTCTAACCTCTCCAACTGAGAAGACCCCTTGTACTAATTCTGTGAAATCCCAAGACATCTCAAATAAACCTACAATAAATAACAAATCTCCCTCGTGATCTACTGAGTCACTAATTCTGTGACATCCCAAGACATCTGAAATAAACCTACAATAAATAACAAATCTCCCTCATGATCAACTGAGTCTCCTGCCTTTTGCACATACAGCACTAGCGTAAAATAATTTTACCTTTTAAATTTTTTATCGTGATCTTTCTATGTACAGACGACAACATAAAAACTCCACCCTAGAAGGGGCCCAAGAGAGCCATATACGTTTCCTAGGTTAACAACAATCCATAGCTCCTTCCATAGCCTTGTAAAAAGATTGGTTTAAACCTCCTTGATCTCACCTAATGTTCCTCCTCCTTGCTATCCACTTTGTTCAAAAATTCTATTAACTCAAACACTTCCTCTTAATTGCGTTCAAGGATTGGCTTTGAACTATTGCAATGATAATTCCGCATCAGTAGTTACAACTCCATTACAGTTTCAGTTTCTTCAGTCCAAGGACTAGCCCGAGTTTCGGTTGAGATAAGGGATCCGGACGAAGTTGGGAGATGAATCACCAAAGTCCGGTTGATAGTCTTCGACAATCTTTCTTTGAATAGCAGGTTTCGCCACCTAAGATTTGGAATCGAGAGTCGGTTGCACGGGGGAAGTGAGCAGATGCTTCTTACAAATTTAGACATAAATAAGATCTCCTATGACAATAAGACCAGATACCAAGTAAAGTAAGGGGCATGCCCATAAGATTGACGATTACTGGTAGGGGGCAGACCAGCTCTGCTGCTTGGGCATTACACGAGCAGCACTATTGATTGGGCAGAGCCCTTGGCTTCTCGGACTGGATCTCTTTTGGTCGAAGAACAACCATCTTTTTCATATTTTTTTCTTTCAACAGATAGATCCATTAGAGCACGTGCTGGAAGCTTGCATAACTGTTTGTTGGAAGCTACCAGTAGCTCAAGTCCGAACCAGTGGAAGTACACAACTTCCGCATTGAGATCAATTTCATTCAATGTGGCAGAAATCTTACCAGCTTATTCATTCTATTCAAATTTGATAGAGATTCAATTAGAAAGTTGACCCCTTTGATATTTCATTTCTTTGGGATCCGAAAGAATTTCTCGATATTTATGATTCAATCTTCTCTCTCCTATGAGAGTAAACCATATCCAACCCCTTTTTTGCTCCTAACCTAAGCATACGTTCATTGCAGCATTTTATCTGAAATAATCTTCACTTTGTCTGCCCTTCTGCTTGCCCATATGATCCCTAGTTGCAGTGCCAGGTCTCCCCTTTGACGGAGTGGAGGTGAGTCCACTATCCATCTGATATAGCAAGGAAAGATGCGTCAACCGAGACCTCAACAATGGAAATGGCAGAGTGGATTAGAGAGACGGCTGGAGAGCTTGGCACAAGAAATGACTTAGCTAGCGTAGCGTGTGAAATATATTAATATATAGGTGAAAATCGTTCAAACGGGAGAACAACTGAAACTTTGGGAGCGACTGAGACTTGGTTCTGCTCTGTGGTCTCGAGAGCAGTTCTATCAGCTCTTGCTTTATATTTGGTTGAAAAAGCTCTCTAGCTAGCTTTTTTCTTTTATGATTCTGACATATGCCTTGTTCAAAGGCCAGTGGAAAGGTCCACATAAAGAGTAGATGGTTACCTCACCAATGAAATGGAACAATAGCTGAATTGGGATGACAGCGGCCTTAACATCTTCTTGCCAAATCTCATCTTCTTCTTTTTTTTTTTCTTTTTTTTTTTTCTATCTATGGACGGGGATGTTGTTGGTGATGTTTCAGTCGGTGTTGATGCCATGACTGACTAACGCCCTGAGCCGGTCCTTTGACAAGGTTCAAAGAGTATCTTGGGGTTTCGCCGTCACATTGTTCGATTCACTTGACAGACCGTTCCTACCCTTCGTAAGTGGGCACATAGTTAGGAATTTCGTTAATAGGAGTACCGGCAACTCCAGAAAGAACCTCTATTCCTGGCCAATTATCAGGATACCAGTGTCAATCTTCAAATGAATTTCTTTGACCCTGGAAAAGAGCTCTTGACTGGCTGATGACTTCAGGTCTGGGCTAATTGCAAGATCCCCTGCTCCCCATATTGATAAGCCTGCTTTCTCCCTCTCTGTGGGGTATTTGTCTGGATTGTATCTACAGATCCTCTGTTATTAGAATATTTAGAATCACTATGGAACTCATAGCTCAGTTCCAGCTAATGTCCGTGACAGGAAAGAGCAAGGTGGAGATATTTCATGTGTTCCTCTAGTGCTATCCTTTCCTTGCTTCTGAGCCAGGATCCAGCTCAGTTAGAGCTCGCAAATCCATCGTTCAGGCAATCACTTGTCCTCTTTCCAATTCCTCAATACAATGCTTGAAGTCTTCAAGACGAGAAATCGAGCCTTTATTGATGAAGGGAACTGGAACAACGGATGGAACAACTGAGACATCTAGCCTTGCTGGCAGCTTGCCCTGCCTTTCCAGGATCCATTTCAAGTTTTGAGTTCCTCCCCTAAGAGAATTTCCATTTGAACCAGCTGATGGCATGTATAGAAAAAAGAAGGTTAACGTTAGCGTCATGGAAGGGTGCCCCCTTCGCCTCAGACTCGGGGCTTTACAGCCTGCGGGTACCTTTTTATTCAAATCTGGAGGTTGTGATGATAGAGTCAGATTTCAGATCAGCATCGAGAAAGAGTGGGTTCTGTCATTCCTTTGACGTAGTAGAGTGGATAGGTGTGACCAGATGCTTCGATCTAGGCATAAAGGATCTGTGAGCAGCTTGTATTATTTACAAGAAAGCCTGCCTTTTGGCAAGGTAAAAGACTCCGCGCTGAAGAAAGAAAAGTGTTAGCTTAATATATGAGACATGGTTGGTTGTTTCGATGATAGTAGTTCTCTTAAATCAATCGATTATTCCTGCCCCATTGAGTCAACAGAGTTGTAACTTGATTCCAAAAGCTCAAGTTCAGATCTATTAGTAGAAAATTATGTAATAAATGGGGGCTTCTTTAGTATCTATAGAAAGAGCAGCACTGTCCAACCTTGATTGGCTTAGAGATAATCATATTAAATAGGATTGCTGATCCATCTCTTTCATTGCGGAGAATCCTCCCCTCTTTTGACCCTTCTGGATGTCGAGTCCTTTATTAGGGGTGCAGGAAGCAATAGAGCCCTGGAGTAGTCCAGTGGGAGGCCACATTCTATTTATTTTTTTTTGATAAGTAGGAGGCCACATTCCTCAGTTGACTCAAATAGAAGGAACCCCTGTCGGTGCTGGAGAAGAAGGCGAATTTCCCTCTACACCAGACATCCCAAACAAGCAACTAGGGTTGTCTACAATCAGAAAGACAGAACTCTTGTTTATTAAAGAAATATGAGAGCTCCTAGTAGAAGCAGAACAGGATGTTCTGCTCAAGTCATACTCGCTTTCCTCCAGTTCAAACCAGTTCAAGATCCGGTTGAATGTGGTAGATATAGAGGCATTGTTCACTTGCCTTGTGACCTCGCCCCTTCTCATCAATGGACTCTTGACGTATTACGAAGGAGTGCGTCTATAGAAATAAACTAATAACAGAAGAAGCGTTGAGGACAGTATTAGTAGTTCGTCTCAACCCTAACCGGTGTCATACTATCAAGAGGGAGTATAAATTAGCCGCATGACCAAATGGGACAAGAAGGTTGATTGTCCAAGATCCATTTGGTAACCCGAGTGATGAGACTTCGACTGGAGTAGTTTTCACTTGCTGGACTTTGCCCTTAGTCCCATTCGCTCCCTAAGATAATCACCATTTGAACCTGAATTTAGTAGCCGTATTTATGGCATTCTAAGCCTGTTGAACGAAATAGCATATATTACCGTGTAGATCTACTGAGGGTGAAGAACCCAACACTGATCAACTGTGTGACCAGTTTTGATACAGTGACTGCAAACAGGTTGAACCTGCCTTTCTTACCTCTTCCACGCTGGGCAGTGTGGTTTGTAAAACGCCCTTTGTTTAATTGCGAAACAGTCTTCGTAACAGGTGCCGACATTTCCATTGGCTTATTAGAGTTATCCTTGAAGGCAATTAAGAGGAAGTGTTTGAGTTGATAGAATTTTTGAACAAAGTGGATAGCTAGGAGGAGGAATATTAAGTGAGCTCAAGGAGGTTTAAACCAAGTCTTTTTACAAGGCTATGGAAGGAGCTATGGATTGTTGTTTAACCTTGGAAATGTATATGGTTCTCTTGGGCCCATTCTAGGGTGGAGTTTTTATGTGGTCATCTGTACATAGAAAGATTCGATAAAAAATTTAAAAGGTAAAATTATTTTACGCTAGTGCTATATGTGCAAGAGGCAGAAGACTCAGTTGATCATGAGGGAGCCCCCTCTTGAAATAGGGCATAACGACAAGGTGCAGAAAAGGTGTGGATATGGATTCATCTGAGGTTTAGGCTTTGGCACATGGAATGCCTTCTTGCTCGCTCTCTTGCCACGCCTTTCAAGCCGCTTCAGCTTGAGTAGTGATGCCTTTGAAAGCCTCGAGATGACTTGCAGAAAAAATGCTTTGATCATCCTTGGAATTTCTAAATCTAATCTTCGAGTAGATGACTTTACCCCTCCACGCTATCTACTTTCTTGTGGCTACGTATTCCTTTTTCTGAGCATCTGCGCATTCCAGTTGTACAAAGCTCGCATCTATTATATTATGAAATCAACTTAATGATGTCTGGAAGAGGAACTTAATTAAGGGCGCCAAGTTTCTTTAATGGCCCATTCTCTGGGCGTAGAATCCTCCTTTTTTTAGAATATTCAAATTCGTCGTAACGACACTTATCCTCCCCATATATTTTAATCATCTCCAATGGGCTCTCAAACTCAAAATATAGCAGGTTGATGAAAATAAGGCACTCCAATGGCCTCTCAAAAGACCTCTCGTATTTTGAGATTCTCAAATGTATTATCAAATATGGCAACTCTCAAATAGCCTCTCAAACTCGAATAGGCACTCCAATGGGCTCTCTCAAAAGACCTCTCATATTTTGAGATTGTCAAAAGTTGTTAAATGAAAATAAGGCACTCCAATGGGTTCTCAAAATATGGAATGATGGTTGTGTCAAAAAATAGTATTTAGGATGAAATGCACCATTGGAGTAGAATTGCAAAAATATAGCATTTTGACACTGTAGCTCCTCTCAAAATATAGATTTGGCATAAAAATATAACATTTTGCATTGGAGATACAATTTGCACCACCTCTACCCTGGTAATGCTTGATCAATCCACCAAGTGAGACTTGAATCCTTCTCCTGAGCTACGCCAAAGAAAGTTTCTTTGCAAGGATGGTAAACGAGAAATTATTATATGGTCCCGGGACCATTGGTTCTGGCCGATCACCATTTGACACATAAGCAAAAAAATAAATAAAGCTCACACATTTGCTTATGTGTCAAAAGGTGATTGGCCTCGGACCATTCATTTGACACCTCAGCAAAAAGCTGAATAAAGCTTACACGTTTGCTTATGTGTCAAATGGTTATTGGCTTGGGACCTAGGAAGCACGGACATGCCAAAATGGGCAAAGAATCCGTGTCGGACACGGACACGCGTCGGACACGCCCCGACACGTGTCGAACACACCAAAAAATGTGTCTAGAATTTTTTTTTTTTTTTTTTTAATTTTCGGACAAGGCACGGATACTCCGCGGCTACGCGTGTCTTTGGTATTGTAAATGGTAAAAGTCCTAGGTCAGATGATGGATGGGAATAGATGATAGTACACTGACTTGTTTTTGTATCTTTTTTGGGGACTAGTCTTTAGGTTTTTGTGAATGTTAAGTGCTAACAATAAAGTCCTGAATGTTTAACAGTCATGAATGTTAATAGTCCTTTCTGTCTATGTTTTTGTATTTGGAGAAAAGTTGCAATGATGATTAAATGATACTAATTATTATTCTAATGTCTTGTTTTTTATTTGGTTTTATAACTCTGCAACATTGTTCTTTTATAGTTTATTAGTTATGAGTTATGATTTGTGTTTTTTTTTTCATTGTGAGGTTGATGAAAAATAGTAACACTCAGTAATTTTTTCGTGTCCTAATTTTTTTGGATTTGCCATGTCGCTGTGTCCGTGTCGTGTCATATCTGTGTCGTGTCATATCCGTGCTTCTTAGCCTGGGACCATGTAATTTTTTTCTCACGGTGAACATATGTTCCATGTATCTAATTTTTTTTTTTTTTTCATTTATTCTTTGCTTGGGTAATCCTTACACAACTGAATAATAATTATTTAATTGTGTTTTCAGGTCAGTCTTGAAAATGGTACGGTTAATGGTTTTGATATCCGAGCTGCTAAGTCTGATCCATTATCTGAGTTGAAGCCAAGTTTCACTCTGCATGCACATGACAAAGCAGTTTCTACGGTCTCTTATAACATATTGGCACCAAATGTACATCTCTCTCCTTTATCTCGCTTGCCTTGTTTATGATTAACTATATACTTGCTATAGTAACTTTGCCCCTATGATATTCTGTAGCTTCTTGCAACCGGATCCTCTGATAAAACGGTAATGTCCTTTCCATTTCCCTTTATTGGCCTCAGTATATGCCCTGCAGATTATGAATGTTTGTATGATCTCTATTACCTACTCTTCATTTGCTGCAGGTGAAACTCTGGGATTTGTCAAACAACCAGCCTTCATGTATTGCATCTAGGAATCCTAAAGCTGTATGTGATTCTTCCGGTTTTGTTTTGGCAAAATATTTTGGATTACTGGGAAATGATGATTTTTGAACTCAGATTGATAGAGTGGCATTATATTTATATGCGTGCTAATATGATGTGGATTTCAAATTGTGTTTCAAATGTCTTCAGGGAGCTGTATTTTCCATTTCTTTCGCAGAGGATAATCCTTTTTTGCTGGCTATAGGAGGTTCGAAAGGAAAATTGGATGTGAGTTGAAAATTCCCCAATGTTCGCCCTGTAGCAATTTTAATTCTCATGTGCGAGTTTCATGTAGCTGAGGGTGACAATTATTTTTGCAAAATTATATGCAGGTATGGGATACATTATCAGATGCTGGGGTTTCCCGAAGATATGGGAAGTATCGCAATCAGAACAGAACTTTACCAGTGTCTTAATGTAAATTAAAAAAAGAAAAGAAAATTATTCTGTTTTGGATTTTGACATGGAAAGAGTACGAATGTGCGTGAGCAATTGCCGTATTTATTTTTATTTTTTTTTCTTGCGTTGTGGAGGCTGGAGTAATATAGGTTTTTTGTTGCATACACCTGAGAACAATGAAAAGTGGAGGAAAATGGAATATATGGACGGAAAAGGAATGGTCTGGAAGACCTTGTATGAGTGCTGTAATTTTCTGGCCTTCACTAAGCTACGAAAAGTTTGCAAAATCCCCATGTACAAGCTCAATTGGCTTTTGGGAGTTTCCATTAAAAATTATTATGAGAACTACTGTTGTTATTTTTATTTACTGCTTGTCTAAAGTTGGACTAAGATTTCTAATTGAACTGTTAATCTGTCTTTTTCATTGAAGAGATGATATGAAAATTCTATCACCGATATCTGATGCAGGTGGTGGTCATTTTCAGATATAGCATATAAAGAAGCTTCATGATCTTCATGTTTAGTAGTAAACATTCTTATTATATTAAACTTGACATAATTGTTTTGACCCAACCACTTTTGGAAAAAGTTTGATGTGGTTTAATAAGGCTTTGAGAATACGACTCTATTAAGTATGAGAGAAATTTACATGCCCCTAAAAAAAAGCCCCTGGATAAAGTGGGTTACTGCTAATTGGAAAGCAGCATCATGACAGCCTTTGGTTGGAGTCTGTTTTAGAATCACAGTCAGTGGCTGTTGCAGCGCCATTTTCTAACCGTTGATTTAGATATACCACGGCCTCGTTTTGGAGGTTATATTCAGCAATAGCCGGCACCAACTCTCTTACTATATATTTATATTTACCTTGGTTTGACTCATTCTGATGCACAAAAAAAATCAGATTTTTTTACTTCATAGTTTGTATGTGACATTATGCAATACCCCAGCTGATTTGCCCGGTTGTTGCCACATCCCTTCCCTTTTTTTCCAGGCTCGGTTTTTATTTTTTTAGGTTATTTTATTGCCTGCATGTGTTTTTGAGCTTCCATGTAACTATTTTGCCTTTTTAAATAATATTAATAACAATAAAATAAATTCAAATTCAACTTTCCTACCTAAAACAACTACTTGTCAAACAAATTTGAATGTTTTTTTTTTTTTTTTTCCAAACAAATCACCTCCACCCTTTTCTTGATTTTTTTTTTTTTTCTTTCCTAAATTTAATATTCTTGAATTTCTTTAGCTTGATCCATTTTATACTCTACTCAAAGTCTCAAACAGAGTAGTCTAGCGGTATCAAGCCTCTATTTTTCAAAATAAGATACAGGGTTTCAAGCTTGCAGTGAAGATATTTATGTGTGTGAGTATTAATTAAGAAAAAGAAAAAGAAAAAGAAAAAAATAAAAAAACTACTATTTTTAAAAATTGTAAATCAAAATTTCTCTTTATCTGACACCTCAATATTAAATTTCTTTTACTACTCAAAAATAATTATGCTCTTAGTTATAGTTTAAAATTTATTTGGATTACGGAACGATTAAAAAAAAATCATTCTTGTGCGAGTCACATCCTTAATAGTTGGGCCGAAAGATGGTGAAGTTAATTGCTCAATCTAGATGAAATGGTCATAAAGAAGAGCTTCTGTAAGCCACGCTTCTGTATTGTTGTTCTTCCTTAAGAATGTTATGATATTTTGTTGGTGTCAAAAAAAAAAAAAAAAAAAAAAAAAAAAAAGAAAAAATTGAAATGGCCATAGGATAGTTACACATGGGTTAATCTCATCCATGAAGTCTCCAAAGTATTTCTTTTCTTTTTTATCTTTTTGTTCCATTATTATTATTATTATTGATAAGAAACTCATAGACACGTTCAGTTTATTCTTTTGGAGATTTAAACTTTCATCATTCACTTTAAGAAGTAAAAAAAATATCAGTGAGACACAAGAGTCTTGATATATTTCATTATTTGTAACACAAATAATTTTTTTATATTTTGACAAAGTATTTGTAACACAAATAATTTTTTTATATTTTGACAAAGTATTAAATTTTATTTTTCAATAAAAGAATAAAGGAAAAACATTACCATGAGTCCGCCAAGCTCCAAGCCGGCTAAAAAGCCAAGATTGGCGCTTCGCGGAATCCGTGATCGCACGAGGAGTTGCACGTGCATCTACAGTCTACACACGTAGATTCTGACTTCTGAGTAAGTAGTAAATGCGAAAAAAAATAAAAAAAGTACTTAAGATATACGTAGTAGTAAAAAATTATAAAAATAAAAATACAGTACTTTGTCTTACTATACTGCAAATGCGACTCACCGTAAAACAAAAAACATAATAATAATAATTGCATCCACGCATTACCTTTGCTTTATTTATCTATAAAAAAACACGAAACGAGTCTCCAAAGCCTCTCACAGTCATCGTTTTAACTCTCCAGAGTCCACATAGTACAGAGAAGCGCAGAAAGTGTGAATGGTTTGGAGAGAGAGAGAGCATCTATACGCCATTAATGCTTCTCTGACATTTCGTTTTTTCACGGATTTTATCTCATAATCTGCCTAGTTCAGTATAGGTTGAAATTCATTGAATCAACAACACGAACGAACACAGTGATAGTTTCCTTTTGTTCTCATACTCCTCGAGACTAGAAATATAGTGAGAGAAAAAGAGATGGAAGTTAGTAAGGTGACATTGGAGATTTTCTCAAAGCTTGAGCAGAAATGGCTCTACCACTGCGAAGGCAAGAAGACTAGAGTTCTCAGCATCGACGGAGGCGGAACCACCGGCATTGTCGCCGGAGCCGCCTTGATCCATCTCGAAGACCAGATCCGATCCAAAACTGGCGATACTAACTCAAGGATCGCCGATTTCTTCGATATAGTTGCTGGTACCGGAATCGGCGCTCTCCTCGCCGCAATGGTTACCGTCGACGACGGCAACGGACGTCCGCTCTTCACCGCCAGAGAAGCCGTTAGATTCTTAGCTGAAAAGCAGGCGGAACTCTTCAAGATGAAGAACACCGGTGTTTTCCGCCGCCGACGAAGTTTTTCGGCCAAGAGTATCTGCAACGTGTTGAAGGAGGCGTTGAGGAGAGAGGACGGTAAGGTGTTGACGCTGAAGGACACGTGTAAGCCTCTCCTTATCCCGTGCTTCGATCTCAACAGCTGTGCGCCGTTCGTGTTCTCCCGAGCCGATGCCTCCGAGTCTCAGAGCTACGACTTCGAACTCTGGAAGGTGTGTTGCGCCACGTTAGCAACTCCGTCCATGTTCAAGCCATTCAGCCTCACGTCAATTGACGGAAAAACCTCCTGTTTGGCCGTTGACGGTGGTCTGGTCATGAACAACCCCACAGCCGCTGCCGTCACTCACGTTTTGCATAACAAACGTGACTTCCCCTCTGTCAACGGTGTTGATGATCTATTGGTCCTTTCACTAGGTAATGGTCCGTTAACTAATCCTTCCCTCCGGAATCTCCGGCTGAACGGCGAGTGTTCCACCTCTTCAATCGTCGGTATTGTTCTCGACGGCGTCTCTGAAACCATAGATCAAATGTTGGGGAACGCCTTCTGTTGGAACCGTGCCGACTACGTTAGAATTCAGGTTAGTCAACATAGCTTAATTGTAAATTTAGTAAACATGTTTTTTCTTCTAAACTATCATATTTTAATTTACTTCAATTTTTTCGTCAGAATGTTTGCAAATAATCCTCAGCTTTATTCTCTTATTTATAATTTTTTTTTTAAAAAGGATGAAGATTGGTTTTTATTTAGATGTTACTCACATGCAGAATAACTAAGGAAGTTAAATATGTAGGTTGCGAGCGTTTACGCGGCGGAGGAAATGGGGCGGAGAATGGAGGAGGAGGTGTTGAAAGAGAAAGGGGTGGAGTCGTTGACATTTGGCGGGAAGCGGTTAGTGACGGAGACTAATGGACAGAGAATTGAGAGCTTCGTGCAGAGGCTCGCTGCTGCTTCGAGAAAGGGTAGTCTGCCACCAAGTCCGTGCAAGGAAAACGCCGTTAGTCCGCTTGCTAATGGCCGTTAATTTTTTTTTTTTTTTTTTTTTTGTCTTTCTCATAATCCTTGTTTTGTTAGTTAAATATCCAAATAATAGTGATTCTGTTTGGCATTTAATCTCACTCCTTCTCTTATCCCCTCAGTTTATTTGGAATTTCTTTCATAAATATCGTGTTAATTAGATCATGAGATAACAGGAACTAAAATTTAAGACAGTGACACTACTATTTGTATTTTCCTTTCTAACTTTTGGATAACTCGAAATTGAATGGTGGAGATAAGATCCAACTCATAATAAATGCATTAAATAAAAAAGATGGGCTGGAATAGAGATAAACATGCTGCCATGAATGAACGGTGTGAACTTTTATTCAAAATGAACCAACAATTTTAGAGTGCTACTGTAATGTTAAAAATTAGGGAAAATTACATATAAATGGAGCCAAAGTTTCATATTTATTTAGAAGCTGAATCAAAGTTTCATATTTCTCTAAAATAAATTGCTGAGGTGGCACATGGTTTTTTACTGTTTAGAAATTGTGATGCCTAAAATATCCTTCCGCGAAGGTACTACTTTTTCTTCGAAGGTACTACTTTTTTGAACTGAAGGTATTACTTTTTGGCGTCCAGGTACCATGTTTTTTAAACACCCACGAAGGTACTACTTTTTCTCCGAATGTACTACTTTTTTGAACTGAAGGTATTACTTTTTTGAACGGAAGGTACTACTTTTTTGTTAGGGAAGGGCATTTTAGGCACCACAATTTTTTAAACAGTAAAAAATCATGTGCCACCTCAGCAATCCATTTTAGAGAAATATGAAACTTTGACTCAGTCTCTAAGTAAATATGAAACTTTGACTCCATTTATATGTAATTTTTCCTAAAAATTACAATAAATACTTTCTCTCACCTTTTAAAAGTGTTCTAATTCGTGTTTGACATATCAGAGACAACAAAAATTGCATTATTTTTCTTTAATAGAGAATCTAAATCACTACAATAAATAGAGTCAACTTTGTTCTATCACTATTTGGAAAAACACTACAATATAAGGCTCAACTCCATCACACTTTACTTAATTTTTTATGAGACTTCTGAGTTTACGGCTTATTTGACTTTTCAAGAACAAGCTCATTCAAAATGATTTTTTAGTCACAACCAATTTACAAATATAACTTCAAATATTGTCCAATCATTTAAATACTACTATTTCTATGTGAAATTCAGGTGAATTTATAGAAAAAGAAAATATAAAATCCATTTGTTATTTCACACTGTTATTTCCAAAAAAAAAAATCCAAATAAATGATACTACATGCTTTTCGAGTCATCCACCACTACCACTACCAGGGATAAACACCCGTACATATAAGCTTTACAGTGAAAAAGACTTAAATATAGCGGACAAAGCCTTACAGTTGGGAGGATATTTTGGGGTACCAATTTAAACCTCTTTTTGGGAAATCATCCAACAGTGAAAAAAAAAATGTTATAGCATAGACAATGAAATGGAATATCACACACACACTAATACCAAACAACTGTGTTAAAAAAAATAATAAAAAATAAAAAAATAAAAATACCAAACAAATATGTAATATCAAAAAGTAAAAAAAAAAAAAGGTAACAAAAATGGAGTTTGCACTCATGTTTTCACTTTTTAGTGGGCATATTTTGTAGAGGCACAATCTTGTGAAATTTCTTTTCATTACTTTGGTAGGTATGTTTGGTGAGATAATGTACTTCTCAAATGGTGTTGGCATGAGACCAGGCCACTGATTTCTCTAATGCTATTAAATGGTTCCCTTATTATTATTATTTTTTTATATTTATTTTGCAAAAAATGGTCCCTATTGGCATGAGTGTTTTTCTTTGTCCTTTGCCTAGCTATGTGGTAATTCATGATTGTAGTAGGATACTTTCTATGAGTTAGGTAGAATATACTCTCATTTCATTATCTTAATAGGATGGTAATGACATTATATAAGACAAGGTTTATGCTTTATTATATATATATATATATAAAGTGTTGGTTAATTTTGTAGGGTTTGGTTTTAGCTAAGACAACCTGGTTGACGTGGATACAACCCCTATACTTCATAACAAAAGGGCATCTATGTGGTTTTTTTTAAAAAACTCAATTTGCTCATAAGAGTAATATATAGTTGTTTGTTTCACATACCATACTTTAAATTGGTAACAAATAATTGTTTGTATTCTATGTTATATACTTGCAGTTGTTAAATACCTTTCATAAGGCCAATTGCTGATGAGCAAAATATGGAAACTACAATTAATGTTGATGCGCATGATTCTCGAGTTATTCTTTTCTAACCATTCCAGATTTATTATTATTATTTTGGGTAAAGTACAACCACACTTCTTGAGGTTTGACAAAAAGACAGTCAGATGAAACTTACATGTTTTTTGGATAAAGACATCCCTAAAGATTCAAAAATGGACAAAGACACCCATTTACATGAGAAATTGACCAAATTACTCTTTAACCGTTTAGGATACTTTTTTAACTTTACTATTTAATAAATTGGATCAATATACCCTCATGAACAATTTATGCATAAAAAAAATGTAACAAAAATATATATATATATATGTCCCAACTTTTTAAAATTGTAGATGTCTAAAATGATTTTTTGATCCAATACATATATTTCAAATAAATTATATTTTGTTATTACTTCTTTTCTTTTCTTTTTTTATTTTTAAATTAAGATACTTAATTCTTTCATCTAAACAAATTAAACCAATCTCTTTTCCTTAAAAATAAAAAATATGGAACCAGTATAACTTTATGCATCTTAAATTATATATCAAATATTATGCATTTTCCAACATAAAAGGGAAAAAAATAATAATAAAACTAAGGGAAAAAAAAAATGAAACAAAGAAAAAAAAAAAAAAAAAACCAAAGGCATGCATAAAGTTAAGATGCATAAAGTTATACTGGTATCTATTTTCTTTTATATTGGAAAATGTATAATATTTGATATATAATTTAAGATGCATAAAGTTATATTGGTACCATATTTTTTATTTTTAAGAAAAAGAGATTGGTTTAATTTTTTTAGATGAAAGAATTAAGCATCTTAATTTAAAAATAAAAATAAAAAAGAAAAAGAAAAGAAGTAATAACAAAATATAATTTATTTGAAATATATGTATTGAATCAAAAAATCATTTTAGACGTCTATAGTTTTAAGAAGTTGGAACATTTATAAAGTAAATAACCAAAAAAAAAAAAAAAAGTGAACAATATAAAGTTTTTTTTTTTTTTACTTTTTTTTATGCATAAATTATTCATGAGGGTAGATTGGTCCAATTTATTAAATTGTAAAGTTAAAAAAATTTCCTAAACGGTCAAAGGGTAATTTAGTCAATTTTTCATGTAAAGAGGTGTCTTTGTCCATTTTTGAACCTTTAGGGGGTGTCTTTGTCCAAAAAACAAGTAAGTTTCCTCTGAGTATCTTTTTGCCAAACCTCAGGGGGTGTGGCTGTACTTTACCCTATTATTTTTATGTCATTTGAAATAAAGACAAATATGGATAATTATTTAGTTGTTCATATTAAATTATTAGGGTTAAGTGAAAAAAATTTACTCTCTACTATCGATATAGTGCAAATTAGTCCCTGCGCAGTATAAAAACCCCCTTATATTATCGATTTGGTGCAAATACTCCCCTCAAGACTTAAAATGACTATAATGCCCTCATATTAGTAAAATGAAATAAAATATAAAAATGTAGGCCGTGTAAAATGACGGTTTTGTCATTATCTCCCTTAGAATTTCTCTATAAAATGACTATGCGCTATGGCAACCCATCTCAGTATCTCTGTGCCTAGATTACGATCCTTCTCTACCCCTCTTTCTCTTTGTACCCACAACTGTCCACCATATTACAGCCCATCAACTCAAATCAACTCCATCCTCACACCGCCGACAAATCAAAGAACACAATATATATATATATATATATATATATATATATATATATATATATATATGTATCAAATGTTCAATCTTGCTTTCACAGAGTGCAAATCACAAATCTAACTCCGAGGATGGCCACCGTTGGTTTAACAAACTTGTAAATCAAACTCTGACAATTCCAGATTCCGACCACGCAGTAGCGAACACTCCTAGTACGGTAGTTGATGACGAAGGCGATGAATGGGTTTTGCAGATTCCAGCGACAAGATTGGTGATGGGTGTAGGATAGTGGTGATTGTGGTGGCAGCAGCGATTGGTGATGGGTTAGGATTGGGACAGTGGTGGTTTATGTTAATATGTGATTTTGCAATGATAGGGATGAAAATTGTGACGGCCTAAGTTTTTCAACCCGATGCGTCAATGATGACCCGAAAGTTGACCCGGTAACAGATCCGGCATGCGGAAGCGAAAGATAAAACCATAGTCCTTAAATATAGAAGTCATCCTTAAGACACCAATGTAACCTTCCATAAAGTCACGGAACTTAAAGAGAGCGAAAGAGGAAACTAGAGTTAAAACGGGTAAAATCCGTTAATCAAGGGCAAAATGGTCAATTTATAAATAAGAAGGGAAATTTGACTCCAAACAAGTCAAATGAGGTCTATACAACCTAAACTAACCATTTCACAACATTTCAAGAAGTTCTAAGAACTTTGGCCTAGAATCCCACAAAATGCCCAATCCCGGTTCAAACAAAACCTGACACTTTCTGTGATACCCCCGGATTTCCGGATGCGGGTTGGCCAGGCCCACGCCCGATTACCCGAGGATATCAAACCAATCAGCAATAAACGGACATAGAATACAATTAAGGAAACAGGAATAAATAAAAATTTGCTGAAAAGAAACTAGAATGATAAACCAAATACTGAAACCTCAGAATAAAATTAAATTAATAAAGAATTATTCTGATACATCCAAATTCTTCATTTTTAATACAACTCGGGAATCCATCTAGTGGACCGCTAATAAAATCATGACTGAGAAATGAACCACTGAAAAAGAATCCAATTCTAAACCACACAGGAACCGCATACGTCGTCGGAAGAATGAGAAGTCGTCTCTGCTCAGCATGAACAAGATCTAAGACCTGGAACCGTCCGTTACCTGAAAAATAATAGTGGGTCAGGC